TGTAACGATTCGTTTTTACGTATTCGTCGATATGCATCGGAGTAACGACAATCGTTCGTTATCGCGGGTCAGAGTATCGCGTGGTGAAGATTCTCGATATTTTCGAGTCCTAGAAGGGACTATCTCTGCGCGTATGAAAGCACCACGCGGGAAATCGATTGTACAAACAAAACCGTTGTGCACTCTCGTCCCCTGTCTGCCGATCTTCCGTTAAATTTCCGTTTGATCGTTTCCGTGGAAACCTTGCAAACTGTACGAGTTTTAAGCAGGCCAGTCGAAAAATCGTTGGAATCTCTTTTTTGAAGCGTTTAGTTGCCGCGAAATAGTTGAAAACGAAACGGCAACGGCTCCACAGGCGTCGGCGTCGGTCGCGTCGAGAAAAGTATAAAAGGATCGCGAAAGTAGCGTTCCGTGGTTTCGTTTTCAATGAATGTTGAAAAGTCTGAAAGTCTGTTGTATTCAGGTGTTAACGACGCGAAGGAAATTGCGTGAGTAGCGGATCGATGAACACGTTGAAAATATGGCAGGTGGTGGGTGAGTGCGGACGATCAAACGCCTCCAATTGGCACCGATTTCTCGACCGGGCACCCCTTCCTATACCCCATCGCGTCGAGTCAATTTTAATAATACTATCGCGGTTCGAACGCCTTCGTACACGATGACTCGTACGATTTTCCGACGGGTTTCAATTATCCGCACTCCCACGGCCTGTTACCCTTCCCATCCACCCCCGCGATGAAATATCGATCCCCGAACCGAACGCCGCCGTTGTAACCACATTGTGCGGAAGTGGCTGGAACGAGGAATTACGTTACAGAATCGAAACTACGATGAACTACTATCGAAACTGTTCAATTTCGCTATCGACCATAAATCTAAATAGCTATTCGGACGGTAAAATGAATTCGGAATAGACCGTCGCGGTCGTACGTCGACAACCATAATGCTGCATTATGAAAATTTAGACGAAGAAGATAGGTTTCACGGGTCCTTGGTAGCGTGCAATAAAACTGTGGCAAGTACCTGTGCAGGTAAAAGGGCTCCCCTAATACTTTTTCGCGGACCGATAGAGGAAAAGCGACGCGAAGGATGAGCCGCGACATGCGAACCAAGACCTGAAATCCGGTCGTAAAACGATAATCGATTTACGACAGCGGCGCTTTGCCTTAGCGAGACCGCTCGAAAGATCTCTCGAAACCCGCAGCGGGAAAAAGAGGTGAGGAAAGCGCAACGCGCGGCAAATTTTTCGGAACCGACAATAAACCGATCTTTGCTGTGACGCAACCGAGAGAGTTGATCCGCAATAAAAATGTTGAGCCGCCGACTGCTTTTACGGCTACCGACAGGAAATTATTACTTTTATTGCTGTTGCAGTATTATCGATTAATGCCAAGAAATTAATTCAAACGTAACCAACTTGCAAAAAAAAATCATTTTCTTTTTGCAAACAACTCGCGTATCTGCTATCTGTGTGAGTCGAATGATGTTTGAACACGTGCTCGCTAAGATCGCGTTGCCTTCTTTCCCTGAGTTTTTCGAGCCATTCGGCTCCCGTAACCACGAGTCGGAAACATTCTCTACTCCTCGATTGCTATCTCTGGCAGGATCGAAACAATGTTTTGCTATCATCGCCTCCGTCTATACATGAAACCTTTCACTGTTTCAGACGATCTTCGTGGGAGGCTGCACAGAGTAGACAAACATCCATACACAAGAATAACATCTTTCGCGTTCCGCTAATCACAACACTTGGAGCGGGTTGCACGCAAAGCGAGAGGCGACAGTAGAAAAACATTGCTCCAGTCGTTCAAGTCTCCTAAAAATGAGCGGACAGAACGTTGCGGCTTAACGAAGTAGCTGGATAGAAAAATTCTATTAGCTCCGATTAACTTTACGTCGTTCCCTTCTAACATAAATAACTTGTCCCTAACTTGGTACACTATGATAATCCATCGTATTTTACTAAAACTAGAACTTAAAAGATACAAGCTTTACCTCCTATGACCTCCGATCTACGAATACCCTCGTACAAAATATATATACACGAATATCGTTAAAAGAAATACGTAGGAAAGGCTGACCAACTCTGATATGGCATATTTTACTTTATTAAAGTCTCAAGAATATACACCTGTATATGTATATGTATATGTATATGTATATGTATATGTATATGTATATTTATATGTATATGGATATCTACGAACGGTAAGTACTTAATCGTCGAAACAAATCACTTGAAAAATCTCGTTGTTACACGTCTACGTGTAATAGTTTAATACGACTGTAATGCGTGACAATGAACTCACCGCCGATAAACAGTGCGCAAACAGTTACGAATTGAACAAAAACGTAAACTTAACACTTTCTTAACACTATCAACAACTTAAATTTAACTATAGAGATACACGGTAAAATATTCGCGGTACAAAGGACACTTTTAGCGAGACCGATTATTGTATTCCGTCGATGTAATAGAAAACGTGTTATGAAAACCTGAGGATCACGCGCGATCTTAATGGCACTTGAAGATTAGCTAAGAACCCGCGTGCATGGTGCGTTCTTCTGTGACTATGCATTACAATGTAGGTACATAAAAACTACATCGATCGTGCATAGAATCGTGCATTATATACGTATCTTGAAAAAATATATAGAAGAAACATTACGAGGAACTGATTTTAAACGATTCATTTCAATTGAAATGTTATTTCGATATCGCGAATAAACTACGATTTTTCTTACATCGTCTTCTTTTACAATAATCTTCGTTTCGGGTCACTCTTACTTATCATTTCTCTCTCGAACTATTTAGATCTTTTAGCCACAGTTTTCGCTCTAACTAATAAATTCGGATTACAAGTTATTAATCGTATTAAGAGTTGGATGATTAAATACGCATACGAGTACATTATTGCGAATCGATTCGTTAAATGATATCAACTTGTCCTACGATGTACGATCGATCGTACAGATTCTTAAAGGAATACTTAAAAAACTACGAGATACACGGGTTATATCCATAATCTTTCAATCGGACTGGAAAAACGTTTACGAAAATAGAACACGGTACTATTGTTGTAATGTTTTAGTAGACGACAATCTCTACTACATTCGTATATGTATAGGATTCGTATATAAAAAATAGAAAGTAAATTGTAGAAAATATTTACGAATGTTCGAGGACGAAAGTAGATATACATACGTATATCACACTTTATCGTCAGGAAAATACTGCTTCCGCGAGGAATTTTAATTCCAAGAAAACCTTGTTGGTTCGTCGTAATTGTTATAAAAAAAAAAAAAAAAAATACATGTCGAATTGAGTAATCTCCTCCTTTTCGAAGTCGGTCAATAATTTACACCGTTGATCGTACGATCCGTCTATCGAAGAAATTTTGATGTAAAGAAATAAAAAAAAACGAAGCGAGAAACATCAATGTGTTCGAAAGATTTGTAGCTGCACAAAGAATAATTATATTAAATGTGCCAACATCCATAGGAAACCTTGGACAACTAATAAATACTTTGGATGCACGTTTTAGACAACATTGGTTGTCTAGCGTAAAGATGAGCGTCGACGATACTACGTCTCGATCTTACCAAGCGAGAGATACTCGAAACCTCGTCGAGGGGAAGAAACAGCTAGGCTAAAGATCGGTGACGGGTCCGGAGAGTTTCATACCGTTCTCCGACACCGTCAACCGATCGACGAACTTTTCTTTGAACGTTGTCCCCGTATCGTCGTCCACGTCGCCATCGTACTCTTCGGGCTGCTGCTGTTTCTCCGTTTGGTCCTGTTTGTCCTCCGACGAGCAAGTACCGCACCGTGCGTGCTTTGCCTCGACCGACCTAGGACCGCCGGCAGTTTCTTCGTCCGCATCACCGATCACCTTATTACGTAGAATGTCCAGCAGCTTCTCCATTCTGACAAATCACGGTTCGTTTCACGTTACATGCGTTTCAACGAGCCACTACCGCTAATCGGCCCAAACGAATATCTGTAATACGGTCTTTAAAAGCGGCATAAGCAACAATTGCAGCGAAAAGCCATGCTGCTGCCAGCTAAAAGAACAGAAAGAACACCAGGCGTCTCGGTCTCGGTCTCCGTTTCCGTTTCCCTGACCCAATAGCGGACTTTGTGCAGAGTATGTAAGGTGTAGGAAGTCGAAGGTGAATTACGCGGAGCTCTCTCGGGCGAGAAAAGCTCGATAGCTCGCCGATAACCTAGAGCAAACCGCGCGATTCGCGCAGATTGTAAAAGAAGGAAAATTTCGATTTACGCGACGCGAAACTCAAAATATTGAATCAATGTTAATATACGATCGTTTATTAAGTTATCGTGTACAAACTCTTGTCGATCGCCGAAAAAGGTCGAGTCTGTTTCTCGGAGAATATTGAATCGACGAATATGCTCGTCGATACTATAACCTAACGATCGTGTAAAATAACAATGATATTTATAACGTTTATGACATTTTTCAAAATCACTGTAAAGTATTTTACAAAAATCTTTCGTCACTGATCAGTCGTATTCACCATATCGATCTACGTAAAGTCTACGTAAAGCGTACGATTTCTATAGTTGGATTCAAACGATCGATGATCAATTCCAAGTTCTCGATTAAAAACAGGGCCCTGAATACCTAAAATTACTTTTTAAAAACAACAAAAAATATATATATACGTTTACACATCACATATCACATTTATCTTGTTATTGGAATGCAAGGGAAAAATTGAACCAAACTAAAAGTCAAACGGCAGCTCCGCGACAAACACTAATTTCAAGCTAAACGATAAATATTACACGGTACACGCAAAACTGTGGGAGTACGCGCAAATAAAAGAGGAAACGTGGCAACTAAACGCATGCTAGACAAACTGCGAAGCCATGCTAACCGATAAACGAATAATTGTATAGTCGAATCATGATTAATGGGTCGCTCAAGATCACAGAGGAGTAACCCCCGCGATATCGTTTTGTTACCCTCGTTGGCGCAAATATGCAACCGCACACGCTATCCGTATCTCGAACAAACGATTTATCCCCAGTCCGATTTACTAAACCTGAGCGACCAATTCAAATTGATCCGTCTACGCGTAATATATCGTCTAATTACAACTATAGAGTAGAAAATTTGTCAATGGTCCAAGGCTTGATTAACACCGACATTCCAGTCGCGAGCGGATATTACCATTTCGTATTCGTTTCTTTGATTCCTTTAGCGAGAATACAGACTTACAGATCTAACAATTCCACAACTATAACACCGAGTAAGAAATGTTGACGCGAACCGTCCGAATGAACCAAGTCAGAGACCAAGCGTGCCACGAGCCCAACAGGGTCGCGCGAAGCGTACTCGACGAGTAAACAACGATAAACCTACGTGCTATTCGACATGTACATAGTAGTAGCCTCTAGCAAGCCCTTGAAGCCCCCCTTGCGATACGGCGACGAGTGGTTTGCGTTTTGCTCGGAGCCCCGCGCGTACGTAGCCTAAATGTAGGCGGTGGTGTAGGTAGCGCGTGAAGGTGCTGTCAGGACTCTGGAGGTCAGGATTCCCGTCGAGCAGAGATCTTTCGGCACGAAGGACCCACCACCGACTACCGCCACTTCCGGGATTTCGGTGATGGCTCTGCTCGCTAGATCGTCATCGAGACGATCTTCTTCGTCCTCGCTCACCGTTCCTGCCGTGCTGCCGTCGCGCGGCGTGGTACCATTCGCAACCTCGGATGCTGACTTGGCCCTCTCACCCAACGACCGCTTAACGCTCGTCGCGTTACCCTTCTTCTTTCTCGATTTCTTCGATCCCCCTTTCTGTCCGCGCACCACCGTCGCCGTCGTCTCGTCTTCCTTCTTGTTCGACTCGTTTCTCGATCCTTTCACCCCCTTTTCCGGTACTCTGTTCGTTATCGTCTCATCGGCTTCCGCGTTGCAACGCGTACAGTCCAACTCGTCGTCTCCAACTTTCGCCTCTTCTACCTTTGGCTGACGACAAATTTGATCGGCGAGCCTCTCTTCCAAGTCTCTAGGTTCGTCCTCTTGTTCAGAGTCCGGTGTCTCGTTCTCCAACGTCCGCGGGATCTCCGCGAACGTTATGCCAGAGGTCTCTTCCCGTGTCCCGTCGTCTCGATCCGTATCGTTGATAACTATAGCGACCGATCGCGTGCTGGAGACAGGACCATGCGTATCATCCACGGTCCAGCTGTCGACGGATGCAGGACTATTACAATCAGCGGTTCGATAGAGACTCGGTTTCTCGGCAACGAAATGGTGCGGCAGCTCCGCGGTTCGGGAACGAAGAAACGAGGTGAAATTCAGGCCCACCGAGGACGAGGACGAGGACGAGGAGGAAGAGGAAGAGGCTGGGTTTAGACTGCAGGTATCGGATAGAGCGGTACGCACGGGGGTGCTGGTTACGTAGGGCGTTTCGAAAGATACAGGCGTGACTGATCTTGCGTGTACGCACTTTGCCACATGATTCTCGGCCAGGGTCTTCGACGCCCGCGCCTCTTGGAGCTCTCGTCGCAGGGCCAGCGTCTCTTCCTCGAAGGCTGCGATCTCGCGACCTTCGTTGCTAAGTGCCAATACAAGTCCACCGTTTATACAATTGTCACCTCGGCAGAGACGTGAGAATAGGCCGTTTCCGGCGCGGTGTGTGTGTTCTGTGTATGTTAGAACGGTGTTCCCGGTATCCGGATTATTCAAGGGGTGAATTCGAATGCGCAGGAAAATAGAAGCGAAAATTCGGAAGTAGAGGCGAGTCGTAGCTTTGTGTTAGATGCTTTCGAAGCAACTTCGCGAATCAATCGAAACTATCGTTTGGGGGATGATCTTCGTAATGCGGAGATACAAAAGCGTATCGACTTTCAAACTAGAGGCGAGTTAAAGCTCGAAAACATCTTTTCGAGTATGTCAAGTGAATCGAGTACGTCGAAATGTCGACAAAAATTCAACGGATTGATCGTGTTGGTAGCTTTTATACAATCTTCGTTTCGATAGATATACAGTCACTTCGAACCGTCTCCGCGAATCGATTAAACTTAAGAAATGGAGGGACATGTAGATTAACATGTAATTGATATTTTCAAATCAAACGTTTTCAGTTACTTCAAATGATAAACACTGTGAACAAGCGGAAAATTACTGTGAAAAGTAGGAAAAACAGCAAGGAAAAAGTTGTCGAGTCGTAAAAACAAAAGAAAAACGAAAGAAAAAACAATAGTACTACGAAACACTACGAATTGATAATATTAACATATTTGCACAATTTTGTTCATCGATTAAAACGATATTCAGTCAAATACTCGTTATAAAAAGAACGTACGGTTGTTCTCAAATAAAGCATTTCGACAATTGTTTAAAGACAATTCGACTGCAAACACGTGATACGCTGTTAAATTAAGCAATTACCGTGTACGCATCGTTCGATACCATGACGGTGTTAACGTAAAAATGTGTAAGAAAATTCAAATGAAACGAATCACGTATTTAACGTCAATTTCCGACGATACGATACGTGCGTCTAGTGCAAAATATGTACTATGTGAAATCACGTGTAAAAAAGCGAAAAATGTACCCAATAAAAAGATATTTGAAAATACGAAAGAGAATACCCCCGAGTACCTAAATTTACCTATCGCCCAAACTTTCAACAACAAAACAAAACTGTTTGGTTAACGAGTACTCACTTTGCGTTCAGCTTAAGGATAGCCACTTCATCCTGCAATTTTGCGACGCGCCTCTCGTTTTCCGCTTTCTCCTCTGTTAACTTCGTAACCTGTTTCTGTAACAGACGAATCGATAGTATCTACGATATTAGCGAATACTACGTTAGACGATTTATTAAACAAAACATGTATAGAGGTAACACACTAAGTCAGGCATCGAGAATAGATAGAATGAAAAATCATATATACTACGATCAACGACAAATGTTGGAACAACGTTTTACTTTTTTTTTTTTTTTTTTACTTAAAAGAAAGCTACGGCTCTCCGTTCTTTACCGTCGGGAGAAAACGAGAATAAAGATAACAGATATGGGAGACAACAATACCGAGCGCAGATAAGGTATAATATTACGAACCGTTTCGAAATAAATCAAACAAATTACATAGCAACCTGCAATTTTTACCAGATAACGGTTTACAACTTCGTGCACTTTGGTCGCTCGTCTTCGCAGTTTCGGATTAAAGAGGAATTCATTTAGCGAGAAGAACGGAATGGTAAATTTGGCAAAAATAAGTAGGCGGTTGGATATTTCATATGTACCGAAAAAACTGATTACAAGATCGATCGAATGTTCCGTTCGGCCGCGACTTACATTTACCCGAAAGAGAAGAAATAAATTCGCGCCACGGGCGATCCTTTAAACGCGCTGAAACCCAACTTCCATCGGGCGTCACCGATGAAGAGGAAAATTTACATGCACGAAAGTGGAAGGTCCCGGAGGTTCAATTACGTGATTGGCAACACGACGAAGCCAGTATGGCGCGGACGGCCATCGCTTCGGCTGATGAGGCTAATGGATGGTTGAAACCCGAGAAGACCGGAGAAAGAGGGAAAGGAAGGAGGCCAAGGGAGAGGCCGTGACAGCCGCTAAGTGCCTCATCCTTCACCCTTCTTCGTCCCTCTGTTCCCCCTACGAATAGGGGAACTGGAATACTTTTGCCCCCGTACACTAGATGCACCCTTATGTGAAACCTAATCATTTTTACCGCGTCACGGATATTTCGTATTACGTCTACATTAGGTTCTCTGGTGTCAACCGGTTTTATCAACCGTCGCGTCGAGTCGTAACCACCGACACAGGACAAGTTTCGCTCTCAATTATCAGAATCGAGTCATTTTTTCGGCTCTATTCGCAGACTAGTCGTTCAAATTGGCCCGTCTCTTTTTCTTTTCCAAAACAATCTATATTAAACGACCCTCGATACCAAAGTTGATTCTATCCCAAGAATATGCAAAGCAGCTGTTGAAAAGATAACGAAAACAAAACTAGACACTCGGGTATAATCGTGAATAACACATCGATCATTTCATGGAAAATCGACACGTTCGACCGAGCCCGGAAACTTGTGCTGGCGAACTCGATCGATGAAAATTCGCGTGCAGACGATAATCGAGGGAAAGAAATTGTAAAAAAGAGGAGACGAGAGTGGGGAAACCAAAGATCACCTGGCCGTCCTAATCAAACAGAACGTACGAATGCTACGCAAACAATATGTCCATGACCGCGTCGTGGAAATGCCGAAAGCGTCGGTCCAAGAGGCACATTACCGTACCCTAACTGCAAAGTCGAGAGAGAAGGATTTCTAGCTTTCTACGCGCTTTGTTTTCCATTCCCACGTTCTCTACCTTCAAACTCCAACTTATATTCCTTTTTTAAAACATCTCGAGTCTTTCAACGAAACAAGCAGCTACCAACGTTCGGTAACCAACTCACAATTAAATATATTCGTACAAATATAAAACCATGCATACGATTACATCGAAAGCTTTGCGAGATGTTCGATTTATAACTTTAAGAAAATGGAAAATTCTCAACATGCGAGGTTTATACATTTTTCTAATATATCGAAATGGATAAATTAATTGAAAATTAATACGTACGTTTAAGTTAGCCATATCCAACGACATCTGGTTTAATTTCTCTTCCATCATAGATTTTACATTTGCGACCAATCCTTCTTCGCATGTTTTATTAGCTTGTCTAATTTCTCGGATAAGATCTGAAAAATGATAAATTGTTTAGAGTCGTTACAACGTCAAACTAATACGATAGGAAGCAAACATTTACCCGATAACATCCCTGGTTGATAATCCGAACAAGTGCTATATGTACACTGCGCTAATTTTGCCTTCATACTACCTAATTCAGACTTTGTTTCGTTTAATTCTTTAAACAACTGACTATTGCTTTTTTTCAGGTCTGTCATCTGAAAACGATTTAATACAATTTTTCAGATGCTTCCGCAACTTTTTAAACGCAAACGTGCAACTTTTGCTTATAGAGAAGATATAGACCTGCTCGATGAGAGACAGAACAAGTTTGTTGCTACGTCCGATCGTTGTAATGGAGCTTCCACTGCCGATGCTCTCAGAATCTTCGCTCTGGGCGTGTACCGGACCTTCTGCGGACCCAACACCAGGATCGGAATACCTTCGATGCTCTGCATTGAGTTCGTCTCCATTGATTCCATTGCTTTTGTTAGCTGTAGGTGGCAGACTAGCATAGTCCCCGTTTTCATAGCTAACCGGTATAGGAGATTCTAACCCATTCTCTTGCAGACTCGTGTAACCATTCGCCATGGAATTCGTATCCACGTTCAGTGCTTGACACTGATTGTATTGTCGTCTTGGTCTGCCGTGAACAGGCCTGATGCCAGAAAAAGGTACCGGCTGATACAACCTATACATTGTCGGCAGAGACACAGGTTCCATGGCATAAGTCATCGGTAACTGACCATAACCACGCATACTCGGATCAGATGTCGTTGCAAACAGTCTTTGCCCATTGTTTGAAAAGTTTTGTTGCACATTTGCATGCCACAATACATGCTGATATTCCATACCAGGTACTACATCGTTGTTCTGGTTATTCTGTGTACTGTTTATCCAAGGGCCAAACATGCTACTCCTTTTGCTGGATCGTTTCTTAGACTTTTTAGAGTAGCTAGAAACATTCTCCGAATATCCCGGCCCTGACGTGTCCAACCTAGCAAAGATTCGTTTCCGTTTAATGAAATACCGATCAGAAATCAAACGATTCTTATAAATCTTTTGTGTCTTACCTGTTATCCATTTTATGGACGATCTACACTGTGTCAGAGGTTAGTCGCCAATCAATTCTCGCTACATGCATGACACAAACACCTCGCAAAATTTCGTGCCGTTAACCGGCCACTGAAACACTACCTTTGTAATTCCCACAAACTTGTACTAATAACATACGTGACACCATCAGAGTAATAATACTAATAATAGTAAATACGAACAGTAAACACTCGACTTGACTCGACCCGCTAGGGCCGCTAGTTTATACAAAATCGGACATTATCAATTCGCGCCTGATTGGTTGAATAAATCCCCACCCTCTACGCCACTAGCAGCTTCTCGTCAACCCGAAGCATGATTATGTGTTCGATGACATACGTATTAGCTCTTGTTTTTATCATAGGTTTTAGCACTAAACCATACTGATACTACTTAATGGAAACTACTAGTTAATATACTAATTATTGTAATTTCAATGGGTTTAGAGACAGTGGCGCCATCGGTGGGAACGCGCCCAAGTTTGTAGTGAAAATAGTTCCCACTGTTGCTACTAGATGACGCCACTAACTTAAAAAATACGTAACTATTCACAAATATGTGAAAAATTTGACATAGTAACTAATATATTGTAGTGTTATAAAGCACAGAACCATATTAGTTATGCATTATGATAAATAACAAAATTATTGATTAAAGTCATTCAGTGGCGCCATCTTACAGAAACAGTGGAAACTATTTTCACTAAAAAGTTGGGCGTCTTGCCACCGATGGCGCCACTGGTATTAAAACTCTACTATAGTTCAGTGCAATTCAGTGAGCTATAGTGTACGAAATATTAAAAAACAGATAACGCATGCGCTGCACTATTCTTCCAAAGCTCCAAGTGACGTGGCCTCAATGATGGCACGAAATGTGCTATTAATGTGAGACCGTGCCGTTTGGATTTATTTGTGAAATAATGCTGTAATTATGAAAATTTGTTAGCAAAGGTTACATCGAATCGTTTCGATAACGAAATCAACTGTTCACGATAATTGCGCGTTAATCCGATCAGGTATGTTTAACCTAGAACAACCAGACGTAACTTGTTACTTGTCACATATTTAAAAACTGTTTGTATGACGTGAATTAAATGTCATTCGAATCAGTTGTCAAATGGAATGTGGTGATTGTAGCAACATGACCACGTACGAGGATTTTATTCAGCAAAACGAAGACCGAGATGGTGTACGTTTTACCTGGAATGTTTGGCCTTCGTCTCGTGTCGATGCTACAAGACTCGTTGTACCATTGGGAACTCTTTATCAGCCTATCAAAGAACGGCCAGATCTTCCACAGATACAATACGATCCAGTTTTATGTACAAGGTCCACTTGTAGAGCAATACTGAATCCTTTATGCCAAGTAGATTACCGTGCTAAACTATGGGTGTGCAATCTATGCTTTCAAAGGAATCCTGTAAGAAAGAAAATTATACCGTTCCAAGGATTGAACGTGATCACTTTGGTACAATTTATTTTTATCATTTATCATTTTTAGTTTCCTCCACAATATGCTGCTATTTCGGAGCAGCATCAGCCGGCTGAACTTATTCCAATGTTTTCAACGATAGAGTATACTATAATGGTAAGCAATATTTCAAATTTATAGAAACATACTCTTTAATATCAGTTTCTTTATGAAAGCATTCTGTATTTGTTTATCATTTTCATTTAGAGAGCACAATGTTTGCCACCCATTTTCTTATTGGTTGTGGATACATGCATGGATGACGAAGAATTGGGTTCTCTTAAAGATTCCCTTCAAATGTCACTTTCTTTGCTTCCACCGAATGCTCTCATCGGTCTTGTTACATTTGGAAGAATGGTACAAGTTCATGAATTAGGTTGCGATGGATGCAGTAAAAGTTACGTTTTCCGTGGTACCAAGGATCTACAACCAAAGCAAATTCAAGACATGCTTGGTATGTTTTATATTTGTTTCAAAGAGTCAAGTGACATAGAGTGTGTTAATTTTTGTTTGTTATAGGCATAGGTCGACCGATACCAGGACAAAACCCAAATCAACAGAGAGGAACTGGTGTTCAACCACTGCCAGCAGCGAATCGTTTCTTACAGCCCGTACATAAATGTGATATGAGTTTAACAGACCTTCTAGGGGAATTACAGCGCGATCCATGGCCTGTAGGCCCTGGGAAACGTCCATTACGATCTACCGGTGTTGCACTGGCTGTTGCTACTGGTCTTTTAGAAGCTAGTTATGCTAATACAGGAGCTAGAATAATGCTATTTATTGGTGGACCTTGTTCTCAAGGACCTGGTCAAGTTGTAACGGATGATTTAAGACAACCTATTAGATCGCATCACGATATCCATAAAGATAATGCCAAACATATGAAGAAAGCAACTAAACATTACGATGCTCTCGCATCACGGGCAGCAACCAATGGGCATATAATAGACATCTATTCGTGTGCTCTCGATCAAACCGGTCTGTTAGAAATGAGACAGTGTTGCAATTCCACTGGTGGTCACATGGTTATGGGTGATTCCTTTAATTCATCTTTGTTTAAACAAACGTTCCAACGCGTGTTCGCTAAGGATAGTAAAGGTGATTTAAAAATGGCATTTAACGCGACGTTAGAAGTTAAAACGTCTCGGGAAATTAAAGTTTCTGGAGCGATTGGCCCTTGCGTTTCTCTGGGTGTGAAAAGCGCGAGCGTCGGAGAGCAAGAAGTAGGATTAGGCGGCACGTCTCAATGGAAATTCTGTGCCCTTACTCCGTCCACGACTACGGCATTATTTTTCGAGGTTGTGAATCAACACACTGCTCCGATTCCACAAGGTGGAAGAGGTTGCATTCAGTTTATTACACAGTATCAACACAGTAGCGGTCAACGAAGAATCAGAGTTACTACAATTGCCAGAAAGTAAGTAAGACGGTGTACAAACCAAATAAGCAGTATTACTGAAATTTACATCACGATTATAGTTGGGCAGATGCGTCAACGTCTTTACTTCACATAAGTGCTGGATTCGACCAAGAAGCAGCTGCTGTTCTCATGTCGCGTCTAGCAGTATTTAGGGCGGAAAGTGACGATGGACCAGATATCTTAAGATGGGTCGATCGTATGCTTATCAGACTAGTCAGTGTTCTTTACAAAATATATAATTAACACATTGCATGGTACGAGTAACTCTTATTATTTAAACGTTGTCGTTATAGTGCCAGAAGTTTGGAGAATATGCGAAAGACGATCCAAATAGCTTCAGGCTTGCGGAAAACTTTTCTTTGTATCCCCAATTTATGTATCACTTACGTAGATCGCAATTTTTACAAGTGTTCAACAATTCTCCCGATGAAACCAGTTTTTACAGGTGAGCTAGCGTGCTCGTATGCTTTAATGATTAAAATGCATGTTTCGATAAATGACATTCGTTAATGAAATAATAAATGCAATATTACAGGCACATGCTCATGCGAGAAGATTTAACAAATTCTTTGATAATGGTGCAACCAATCTTATACAGTTATGGATTCAGTGGCCCACCGGAGCCAGTTTTACTAGATACTTCGTCCATTCAACCTGACAGAATTTTGTTGATGGACACTTTCTTCCAAATACTTATATTCCACGGAGAAGTAATTCTTGTCATATTTTCTTTAAAGTGTAATAAGAGTCGACTATGACGTTAGCCGATTGGTTACAGACGATTGCACAATGGCGTCAACTAAAATACCAAGATTTACCAGAATATGAAAATTTTCAACAATTATTAGCGGCACCTGTTGACGATGCCGCCGAAATTTTAGCTGGAAGATTTCCTGCGCCTAGATATATCGATACCGAACAAGGTGGTTCACAAGCAAGGTTTTTACTGAGTAAAGTGAATCCAAGTCAAACTCATAATAACATGTTTGCTTATGGTGCGGTAAGTAAAGATTCCCTCAAATTATTTTTCTCCAATAGAATACATCTCGTATACCACGCTGAATATATTTATATTTCGCGTATCAAACTATATGATTTAATATTTATTTTCGATTATACATCATGAACATTAAGTTCGTATAAATCATATGTTACTAATATTTTTTTATGTCACCGTGATCCTGCTACCAGGGGATGCCGATACCCAGTGGGGTGTGTTTCTATTCATTTGATAATTGTATTCTTTTTTACATTTGCTTTGAATGCTTTGGTAATGGAACCGCGTGGGAAAATGATCTAAGCAGTCGATATCTTATTGTAGCTTTACAATAAAATATTTATTTCTTTACAATAATATCTTTTAACAGTTAACAATTTTGAGATATCTAATCAATATCAACTGTTCCGGAATTTTACACTGTAGGCACTGGAACATCGATCTATTACGCGTTTAACATTCTTGTACCGATATTATTGTCATGATTCACTGGTGATTAGTGTCAAAGCATTTTTCTCTGAAAACAATCTTTTATCAATTGAAAACTGTGGTTAATCTTTATTTGTTTTGCTTTCACTGGTTCGGGAATTAGATTTTTGAGCTTTTTTTTCTTGATACTTCAACGATTATTGATTACAACTTTTAATTGCAATTTATTCTAATTTAGGAAAGTGGAGCGCCCGTCTTAACGGACGATGTTAGTTTACAAGTATTCATGGAGCATTTGAAAAAACTGGCTGTATCATCTACAGCTTAAATTGCAGTAATAAAAGAACAATGTTGCCTCATCATTTTGTCTAAATAAAATTTAGAAATGCTGTGAGCTTCGCGATGCGGTATTGAGTTGCATTTTATTGATAAGGATAAAATAGGCATGGTAAGGATTTATATATACAGAAATTATGCGGTTATAATGAGAATACATAATTAAATATAATTCCTCGACAACTATTTTTTCCAAAGTCAAGATATGACTTGTGTACAAATAAAGTACATAGTATTAATGTAATGCATATTTTAAATATTCCGTGTTGTTCAACTTTTAAAATGTCTCATTGATAGAATAACTTATTTTTCAACGGTATTTCTTGTCATAAATATAATTTTTTGGAATATCATAAATAATGTAACAAGACATGTAAACAAATCATGTATTAGACTTTGTAAGCAGTAGGTTGAAAGAACTGTAATAATTACAGAATTTATATACTATAAAGTATAATAATTATACACAAATATATTTGTTTTATTAATTAAAATATTTTGTTTTTATAAACATCTTATTCTTTCAATGGATTATTAAATATCTAATCTAGACGTTCAATTTTTTTCTATATAGAATAAATAAAGTCGTAAATGAGAAATTTATTTTTTGCATTTAATATTATTAATTGCAATTAATTTTAATACATCTTTCCAATGCATCATAAGTTATGCATTATAAGAAACAATGAAATAAATTAACTAAGAAATCGTATGGACATTTTTTGTTCTACATCTGTCCTTTCCAATACCTTACAAAACTCTTCAAATGATATCATTCCATCGCCATTTTCATCAGCTTCTACTATGGTACGCTCAGCGATACTAGTTAACTGTTCTTCGCTGTAAGTTCCAATTATTTAAATTCATCGTTATTATTATTATTATTATAGAGCAATTATAGTTAAACCTGTGTATTACCTTATATTTGCGCCAACCATCATATGTAAAATAGCTAAAAGCTCTTCTTTTGATATTAAATCGTCGTTATCCAAATCATACATTTTGAAAGCAACTAAAAATAAGAATGAAAATAGCGTTTAAAATATTATACTAATAAAGTTTTACTTATATTCTGTTTTCGAAACATTATTATACTTGCATTTTAATTTCTGTTGCCTAGAGTTTAGCCGATTAGGACTATTTTTCTTAATAGGCCTAAAGTGAGCAAGGACTTGCATAAATTGTAGAAAATTGACTCTATCGTTGCCACTTTCCTCAAAGAAAGCATTCACGATTCTTTCACCTAGAGGATTTATTGCCAATTCTGGAATTCTAAGAAAATCTTCTCTACTAAGTGTCCCGCAATCTCCGCGGTCTAGACTCGTAAAGCGACTGTATAAGCGTTCAATTTGATTTGGTGTGACTACAATCAGGTTAAATAACAACTCGGTATTACATTTCTAAATTAATCGAATCAAATAATAATGGAAAACTTACATCCAGTGGCATCTTGGATTTGCGCTATTTCTTCTTCGCGTAAAAGAAGACTGGACCTGTTACCCATGTTTCTCAAATGTCACGATCAAAAAATTTCAAGATATTTTAATTTTACGTTCGATATTATAATCCTAACATACGATTCCTAATCCTAATTCATATTTACTTCCTTGGGGTCAAAGTCAACCCGAGTCAGTCAAAGTACGACTACGACCGGCCCACGACTGGCTGACAGATGCTAGGTTAATCACGAGTGTCAAGGTAACTGATAATGATAAGAAAGAAATCTTAAGGTTGATACATAGTACATTGCAAAAGATTTTTAGTAGATCCTAAATATTGTCAGTCGAGTAAATCAAGAACTATCAAAATTGAAGTGATCAAATTAGATATAATAGTAGAGAAAGAATCTTTATTACAAACAATTTTGTTTTCTAGGAACTTGTCATAATTTTAAAGATTTTATACTCTATAAATAAAATCATGTGTCTCGCAGTAGAAGTTGATTGGTTCGTTGTGTCTTGACTATCTGTTGTAGGACCGACGTGTAGTAAATTGAAACATTATATGAATCTTTTATTCAAATTCGTTTGTACACGTAAATTAATTATTTATGCTTCGTTTCGTGCTTTTAATTGGACAATTTAATATTTTGAGTAAACTTTTTCAAATAGACTAAAGTGACACGCGTTCGCGGTGCAACGTCTCGATTCCAACGTCAGTGGTCAGGAAGTGACGTTCTTACAGCGTAGCCTGCGTAGCGTCCACGTAGCGTCTTAAATCTTGCCGAGAGTAGCTTTTATACGTCAAACACTCTGTAAAGAGTTTACCAGTGACACACAACGTGAGTATCATATTACTGGCGATCGATCTTTTTCTACGTTAAACTGAATTAAAAATCGTGAGCGTTGAAACAATTAACATTCATTATTACCTGCAGGTTATATTCTGTTATTAATGAGTACAAAATTAGATATCTACGCGCTTTGAAATGCTTCCAATATAATCCGTGTGATTTCGCTATAACTGTTAGAACATACGTGATATTCGTATTTTGCACATAGTTTGTGTAAATTTGTACGTCGATTGCATTCGAATGTTCCAATTATAAAAATTTGGCAAACGCCTGTAGTTAGACTGTGAATTTTATTTAATTTACAGTTTTGCAAATACAATGGATCAAGTAAAGAAACTCACAGAGCCAGCACGCCAATTTACGAAAGACAGTATTCGTCTTATCAAACGATGTACCAAGCCTGACAGAAAAGGTAAGACTTGAGAAAAATATTTATTTTTATCTAATCATAGCCGTTGTTGACTCTCTAAGGATTAAATTAAAATAATTTCAACTTATCGTACGATTTTTCTCAGAGTTCCAGAAAATTGCTATTGCAACAGCCATCGGTTTTTGCATAATGGGTTTCATAGGATTCTTTGTTAAACTAATACACATCCCAATTAACAACATCATTGTGTAAGTAAATCTAATTTTTTCATTTAAATAATTTGTACTTACAAAATTATTTATATGTTTTAGGGGTTCATAAGTTGACGTTAAATAGATACAATTACCATTTGATAAGGCTATTTCTCCCCCATGTTCCCTGTTATATGTATCTTTATTTATAAAGCAAAACAATGTATTCCGTTCTGGATTGTGATCGAAGTATGCGAATGTGTGTATATATCATTATAATGAATTTTATAATAAAATGAGCATATAAGATGCACCTTTGTTATTCATCTAAAATATTTTATAGAACTCCTTTTAAACTCTAAAAGTAAATTTGAAATGAGAGTGGTAAATGGATATTAGTATTGAAGGCACTTTTATTTTAAGAATAAAATTTTTTCTTGGGTTACAGTAAAATTTTGTCAGCCATTTTTCTAATATAAATTCAATACATTTCTCCTAAGGAAAAATAGCTGTCGCATGGAAATCCATCGCCAGGTACTCGGTAATAAAAAAACGATAGTACGATTTTGTTACGACAAATAAAATCTTATATACTGCTCGCTATTGTATTATTAAAGTTATTCTGTGCTTATCCTCTAGAAAGACTTTAATACACTTTACTAAAACGATGAACCTATAAGCCAGATACTATGAGCAACAGTATCTGAAACTTTAATAATGGCAGTATGTATCGGACAGCAAACATAATTATTAAAATATATTCTACATTTTCAAAGAATTGTGAATTTCATTCATGATTCTTGTTAAGTGTACGTTACACACATAATCGGAATATTTTTAGTTAAAAAAATGCAATACTTTCGAACAGTCTGCGCATTACATTAATTTGAGAAATAATTAGACAATACGCGTTTGCGATAAGTTTCTTATAAATCCAATACTAATTTCTTTCGATACGATGATTGAATTAATACAAATTTTACTTTTTTTAGAATCTTCAAAGTTTCGGCAATAGAAAAAGATTTGCATATAAATATAACCTCTATTTCAGTATGTCTGATATTTCTTTCTGAACTCGGCATTAGTAAATAGACATTAATGCTTAACATGTGTATTAAACTATTAAATACTCTTTTCGGGCAACTTAATAAAATTTATATAAAAAGCAAATATATATATATATATATATGTATGTATGTATTAGCACCACACGTGTGTGACTGTTGCGTGTTTACGGTTGTCTTGCGCATTTACAACATACATAACATTCGTAGATATTTAATCCATTTATATTCTGTATTTTATACATTGTTCACCTTCAAAAATATTAATAAACACAAACGAGTAGCATACTTGTACGCGTAAGGAGTCGATTAGAAGTGATATATTTGTCGCAGGTACTCGTTCTATTTAGCATGTGTATTTAGTATAAAATCTAAATACAAATGGATTAATTTTTTTAAATCGCATACTGTGAAGTAAAACAAGAGGAAGACTTCTGTCTCACTTCTGTCTCGCGAAGTGCAGGAAAAATCTTCCACTTTGTTAGATAAACTGGCGGTAACATTCCGAGATTGAAAAGCATTTTAGTCCAAAGACTCGAAGCATTTCACTATTAAACTAGCTTTCATAAATTGCACGAACGTTTAAGCGTAACCCAAAGTGCGTTTGCCAAGCTCTCTCTTCACTGATATATGGATAATAAAAATATAACATCTCGTTCTTTTACTTTGACCAATGTCTCCGATGATTCTTTGGCATTCTCTCGCATCACTGTCAGTCGATGTACATAATTCAATAATTAAAATTTCAATAATTACACGGCCAGAGTCACTACGTAAAGGTAGAATTAGAGATTAAAAATTAATTTTCACCACAAACGCACCGAGGGAGGGTAACTACCCACAATTGAGGTATGTCGTTCGGCTCTTGTCATATTAATGAAACAATTAATTGCAGATTAATTAAGTGTTCATTAAATTTTAATGACGCGCGCGCATATGTATATATATATATACATGTATAAACACACATATATATGTGCGTGTTTGTAAGTGTAAATATATAACATATGTATCTGTATAAAATATGCACATGTATAATATTAAATATCATTCGATTATTCGTATAATTATAAGTATCCTTTGAACGCGTCTCGTAATCGCGTCGCAATATGATAATTGTAATCAATATCAGAAGACTTACATGCTTAAAAGGCATCTCTCACTGGTGAATCGAGAAATGGTCACGTAAAAAATAACGGCACTAACGCGATGCAATTTGTAAGAAGTTTTCTCGACTTTCACGTGAACGAAAGCACTTTGGTAGCGCTCGTAGATTTTCTTTCTCTTCGCGCTTTGTTTCGACTTAGCGTCGTAGAAAGATCATCATAGTTGACAGAAGTAAAACTTTCTTATCAAGAATATTTTTTCCATTTAACATTAGGCATTATAGAGAATTTTCTATCCGTTTACAAGGTTCTTCTTCAAAAACTAACGTCCGACAACTAGGCTCAGCTTCGCTCATCTAGAGCGCTACAAAAGTGATACGTTTCTGTCTTACGGTTGTCGATTATACATATTAATTATACCTTAGAATGTCACAGTACTTATGTTCAAGGAATTGGTTACTTACTTTCAAAAAAGGATTACTTTCAAGGAATGTCTTCAAGCGTTCTACGTTGAACGTTCCGAGTATAAAGGTGTATGTTAAAAAAAAAAAAAAAGGAGAGAGGGAAGACAAGTAGGTAAAGAACCGACTATAAGACGTTAAAGAAAAAGGATAAGAAGGAAAAGGGAGCGCGAAATTATGTTATCGTAATCATTAATCAACTTATAAGCTATAGACTTGCAATTAACAGAGGAGGGAAGGAGATCTAGGAGAGTCTGGTTTACCGGACATGACAAGGGAGATCCAACAAGAAGGACATTCACGAGACTCTCCAAATGTTTTCTGGATAACATATTCTCCAACTGTTATCGATGTTTCAGTTCTCCGAGGTCTTCTTGGAATGCATACAACCAGGGTCATCGCAGACCGGTAAACCTAAACCTCCTCAGAGATTGCTCCCTAAAATGGCGGCAGGGATCACTTATAATGGATAAAACTACTAAACTGTACAACCGGAATCCGAGGTTGGCACATAAGGGCTTCCCTGTCGGTAGAAATCACCCTCGTACTCTTCCACTTTCACCGGGTACTCTGTAACGCAATTCTGAGGTTGGTTCAACGCTGGCGGAGGTTGCACAAAGTTTTCTTGGTAACTAGGTAGGTGCACGGGTTCCGCGAACTGCTGATAAGAAGTATCCGAAGCACCCTGCTTCAGACATGTCGGTCCGTGGAGGCTCAGCATGTCCACCAGCCTGCGCCTCTGCGTCTCCAGCTCCTGTATCTGTGACTTTAGGTCATGGTTTTGCGTTTCGAGGATCTCCGATTCCTGTACCAGGATCACCGTCTTCTCACGCTTCTTCAGCCGGCACTTGGTTGCGGCGATTTTGTTCCTTTCGCGTCGTCTTCGGCGCCTTTCCTCGTCCTCCGGTGTCAGCTGAAAGGATTGCACGCCGTTTACTATATTAATCTTGCTTTTACGAGGCGTTAATCACCATAGAGACGTTATATTCCCGAAGGGCCAGTTGGCAATACAAGTGTAGGAAAATGAACGACGACAAAATTTAATGAAATAAAGGTAAGGTTCGTTAGTCAAGACATAGACGGGTAAGCGTACGCTCCGCGAGTTTTCCAGCTCTATTTTTTTATAAGTTGTTACACGAATTACGCATCATCTCGTTTATCTATGAAAATAACGATACTCGGCATTTCCTACCACTGTACAGATTATACATAGAATTACTTCTCTATACTTTTTAGCGCAACAACATTTACGTTTAAATTGAAAAGAAAAAGACTTTACCGTGAAATTATTTTTAATATAACGGCTCTTTATTTTTTGGAAATTGTCATTCGAGTTGATAATGTAATGTGTACTATTGCTTGATCGAAGTAGTCGAGAATACAAGGAATATCCGGCTGGAAATCAAGAAGGACTCGGTCGACTCGAGAACCCTTGAAATCGATGAAACGCCGACTTACAGCGCAATCGCCCGACGTCACGACTGTTTTATCGTTTTAACGAGAACAGTATGTGAGGATTTCTTACTCCACCGCGGTTGTTGTTGTTGCTCCCCTCGTCCTCCTCCTCGTCGTCCGCACTGCCGTCCTCCTTTTTCGTCCTCTTCTTGGAGTCATCCCCGCTTCCATTGGCTCGCCTCTTCGTTTGGAGCGTCAACTTCAATCCTATAATTTTTATACACGAAAGCGTCAATTACGAATCCCAAACTCGTTGGGATATACTCCCAAAAGTGTTTTGCACGTGTGGAAAATTGAATATACTTTGTTTATCGATATTTTTCTGTCGTTCTGTATCGAGCAATGTTTGATCGAACAGAAAAAAGTGATCTTAATAAAAATTTGAAAGAAGTTAAATGAGGGATAGAGAGGTCTAATTGTGGCTTTAGAAACTAGAGTTGGTTATTAAGACGGTGACAAGGCCGGGTCAGCCTTGGAACCGTGAGATTCGAGAGACGAAACAAAAGAAACCATGGAGACGCGACCCGGTAGGATCATCAAGGCCACCACCGGATGGGTACCTTCTTTAATGAGCTGACTACAGGTGTGCTGAACACTCGGTGGGCTCGGCTCACCGCTGCTAGTCGAGTCCGTACGGTCCCTGCTTTTCTCGTTCGTGTAACCCTCGAAGGGATTGGTCATAGCGATTAGGGAATTTACAATTTCCGGTGTCCTTGGCGTGACCTCGGCCGCCGCGACACCGAGAAGACCCGCGGCAGCCGCTGGACTAGGATTCACGTTCACGTTCAGGTTGTACATGGTCTGTTATTACCATTTAACCTGGAACAAGAACAGAGAGCGTCGATAAGATTAGCCGGTCGATACATATCGATCGTTAATCGGGGACCTACAGTTACTCGATTTTTACTGGTATTATTCATCGGTATTGAAATACTTTTTTCGATTTCTTATCGTCCATCTTCAAAGAAAAATATTTCGTACGGATATTACGTTATCGTTGGTATAATTCTAGCTGATAAACGAAACCTCACCGATCTGTGGCTACTTTGTATCTGCAATTCTCGGCAATTTTTGGACGTTGCGCGTTGATAATACGATATCCTTCTTTGTGGTTTTCCCGAGGGATAAAATTAATTGCGTACAAATCAACTTTAATCAACCGTAAATTACATCGTTCTCTCTATTCGTTCGTTAAAGATGGAAATCGAAGGAAATTGTTTGACTTGGAATTATTTGTACGACCTTGATGCATCAATTATCGAGCACGGATCCATGCGAGAACAAAAGAGGAATTCAGATTGAATCGCGGTACTCTGATAACGAAACAGGAAGCCAGAGATCGTTATCGACGCCACGGTGTGTAACTGGCCTTCGTCAATCGTCAAAGATTCAAGTATTGCGTTACACCAATATGCCACCAGTCGTGGTTCAACGACATCGACGTTACCAAACAGTTTGATAATAACAACGATGAAAATGAATTTTCAAGTATCGTCTCCCAAAATCTGTATAAGATTTAAACCGCAAGCAATTTTTGTTAGAAATGTATCGATTCTCATGGATCCGATAACTGCTCGAAACGAATAAACCATTAATTTCAATTCGACTGCGCGGCGCGGCGAGGCGGCCCTCATATCGTTCTCTGATCTTTCAATCGATTTATCGATTCCTTCGTACAGTTGGCGCCCACGTACGAGACCGCGAGGAACATCTTCCTCTGCGGTATATAGGTCAGTGGGAATACGCCTTTGGCAGAAAGGCTCATTGTCGCAGCTTCTGACCGCGGTTCAGATCCGGTCCGAGGAAGTCCATTCTTTTTTTTCTCGCTAGAAAGTGTAACCAGCCTCCACGAAAATGCGAAGAAGCATCGAGGAGATCCGCAGCAGCAGGCGAAAGACTCGGCGGAGGAGGAACCATAGAAGGCTGCGGAGGAGGAACCATAGAAGGCTACGGAGGAGGAGTTGCAAGGGCATTAGGCTCCGAATACGGAACGATAAAATTCTTACGAAACGTGGCTCTCACGTGCACACGTACTATACATATAACCACGCGCGCACACTTGTGCATCGAGAGTTGGCAGGCTGAGAAAAAGTGAATGAGAAAGAGAGAAAGAAGGAGGTCCTCCCGAGGAGGTTGGGCAACTTGGACGGAGCACAGCCGAAGAATTCGATGCCTGAAAACAAACCGGCCGGCTCTAGCCTGGGCTGGAGAACGCACGGCACGGTTCCTTTTTAGAGGACACGCCAGAGCAGACACGCGCCTGCGTTCGCGCACGTCGACGTGTATTTTTGACGAGAATTGACAAGCTTTTAACGCTCGTACCATCATCGCTGCGGATTTTTGCGCGACCTGAGATATTGGTTTATTACTTACGCGATCCTCGCTCGTCGACCACGGTTGGCCGACCCATCGTTCTACGCGATGGTAAAACGTTATCGGAAGGTAATCGACTCTGATACTTCGCTACCTGATCGAACAATTCTTTTATCTTTCCGCTTTTGTCGTGTTACACAATCCGCAGTCTCGTACATTTTCCTATATGTATTTTGTTTCCTCGAGCGAAACGAAACAAATACGAAGACAGATAAGAAAGAGATAATTAATCGTTCAACTGCGCGAAAGTTATCTCTTTTCATTTTTTATTACTACTGCCGCAAGGAATTTCGTACCAAGAGTCTGTTTGCTCTCGCGATTCTGTTATTGGAAATTATAACGATCGTTGCAGGACTAACAAAAATAACGGTGGCAAAGACGATAGGGTATACGATACACGATACAACTATGCTCGCTTAATCGGTCACTTATATAAAGCCATCGTAGAATCGATGCAACAGATTGAAATAATAATCGGGGAATCGTGTTTGTTTGAATGGGAACAGGTGTCCGATCGAAGCCGTCGCCACTGCACGCTGTTAAACGTATAAATAGAAACCGTTTGATTTTGATGTATGCCACGAACGCTTCGGTATTCGGCTGATCTCTCGTCGAAAGATTTTACAACTGTACCGAATTATATCGCTGAAATGTGTAATTCTATTCGCGCATTTATTTTTTATTCTTTATTTCAGGGGAGAGTGCGAAAGGCGCGAGATACGATTACCTTGGAATTGCGCGTCGTACTCGACTCTACTTTTATACGAAATATACCGGGACTAAAATTTGAAAAATAAAGTGACAAGTCCCGACTGCCACGATATCGTTATCGTATCGAAGTTAACCGACTACATCCAATAGTGATCCTCGGAGGCGAACAGTGAGAGGGAGAGAGGGGAGGGGAAAAATTATAAACGCAGCATGGTTTATTTTGCGTCAAGGTGCACCGAAGCTATTCGTAGAGTGACCGCCTAATAATAAGCACACTTCCGATTCGTAGGGACTGTTCTGGTCGAGGGTATTGTGTCGTGGTTGCGTGACGTGTTTTTCGTGTGGGGCACGTTCCCCCTCTTGCGCGACAAAATCGTGCCGGCAGCGGAAACTTTATCGACTTTATCGCCAGATACATAGAACCGAGCCACAGCGCTCTCGAACTCGCGCACAGTGGAACCTTTGTTGGCTTTCGGAGCACTGTTGACATTCTCAAGGTAATTTTATACCGATCGAAGGGGTTGGAACTTTTTGGCTGTTCGCAAAGGACGTGGAGAGTCGGACGCCTCGCGGCACTGTTTATACGTTCGAAATAATAAAGATACTCTTGTGTCGCATCGCGATCAGCGCTGAAAATGAATAGTTGAAACGATGATGAAACGATTAACGAGCATTCATAAACAAATGACGCGACAATGGACGCGTAAACATTTGCGTGTTCGTATCGAACTCGATTCTATCGCTAGCGAAAGCCGCGGCACATGTTCGTGAGAATAAGGAGGATCGGAGAAAGATTAATCGCCAGCTGGTCTGTTCGCGCGAAAGACGACGCGTTGCCGGAATTTTCGGAGCGTCTCGACGCTTTTCGAAAAGGGGGCCGATATATCGTTGCTGGTGTATTTATGACTCGCGTTTGACACAGCATGCGTTACGAAGCTACATACTGTGCGTTCAACGAGACCGATGAAACTCTTAATAAAGTTCGAATCGAACTCCTCGAATGGTGAGAACGGTTTATGGGAAAGACAGGAAAAAGCAGTGAACGTTGATGAGAAAAAACGTTAAAATAAAGGATAGCCCAAGGGATGCGTGAAAGGAGACACACGATACGAGTCGACGCCGACGGGGAAGGAGAGTGCAAGGGAACTTGCGCAACCGATGTCCATCTAGCCAGAAAAAGCTTTTATCGTGCTTTTTCGGTACAGTCGTCGATCTAAGCGTGGGCGGCCTAATTCCTACGGATGTCTTTTGTACTACATACGCGTCCAATCGTCGATACAAAATAGCCAATTGTCCGGAATGCAAGTCTCATCGGGAGTAAAACGAGCCATCGAAACAAAACGCAAAATTAATTTCACATAGACATCCGGCAAGATCGGCGAAAGTGAAACAACGAGCTCTGCCGGGGACGAGGGAACAGGGGGACCATTACGGCACTATCTGTCCCCATTATACGACTTTAATTACGGCAAATTACTTTACCGGTGCCCTGAAACGTGACAACAATCAATTACCCACGGCTAGCCACGTTTTACTCGTATAAACTAGATAATTTCATTGTAAGGTTGAGTAGACTTGGAGGGATCCATCGAACCCGGTGAATGCCGAATGTCAATTGTCGAAGACACCGAGCTGTCCTGGAGTATCCTACGCAACGCTCTTCCCGCGCTGTGTTTGGCGTTCGCAACGAAATTTATGCTTCCTGTCCGCGCGTAACGCGACCACACGCTCGTTGCCGTCGGCATGTAATTTACATACGGTGGCCGGTTTGTGTACGTTTCGTCTATGATTGTCGCGCGACCGCCTGGAACTACGCGAGAAAAAAGAAAATCGTACGAACCAAACTTACGTTCCGTGACCCCTCGTAAACGTACAATTCCCGGGTCAGTAAAGGATGTACCGTGCAATAATTATTACTCGATTAATCATCGTCGATATTAGCCTAAAACGAAAAGTTACTCCACGTGTTTGCGAAAAACGATTATAAAGAAATTACTCGGAGAGAAACTCTGATAGGTCGCGCGAATTAGTCAACGTTCAAAACTAACAGCTCGACCCGATTCTAGACTGCCTCGACGATCCACGATCTTTCGAAGAAACGGTTAGGAAAGGAACAATTAATGGAGATTGATGTCTCCCGAACCCGCATAACGTTCTCCCTTCTTGGGGAATCGTTCTCGACATACGGGCGCGAATTCGTGTTCCGAGAGACGACGCCGACGCGGACAATGGAATGGCGTACAAACTTCCAAGCACGAGGCTCCAAGAAAGTATAAAATTCAACGGAAAACGTTGATCGATGATTCCCTGTACCCGTCCATACGTTCGAAACGGTACTAGGATAGAACAACGGATTCTTTCGATTACACGTTAAAGGCGGAACAATCCTTTTCGAACATTCCATTTCGTGCGGCAACGATCCTTCGCGTGATTTTCCCGGTGTGTCACCGCCTCTAACCATCATTTCGTAATTCAACACCTGTCGAACGAACACCGCAGAGAGCATCCGGATTTTCCAAAAGAAGGGATACACGTCGGTTTCTAAAGACTCTTCAGGGGACAACAACACCACTTCACGCGATTATTCAAATTTACAGCGTAACTGTTCGTTTCACGATAAGTAAGAGCTACGACATCTTAGTGACCCGTTGCCAGCAACGCCGACGGAAACTCGTAAGAAACTAAGTTCCGGTGTGCGACGTTGGTGGCAATGTTTTGTAGGAGTTTTGGTAAACGACGTTACCTAGATTTTCTTGCTGTTTCAACGAAATCGATTACACACTTGAACGTTTGATCATCGGATACGCGTTCCGTTGTAAACTGGCTGTCTCGGGAATCGCGCGTTGCCAATCGCGTTCTGCACGCGATTTCAGCAACGAGCGATTCCACGAGGACGTTGTCATCTCGAACGTCGTCGCCGTGTCTCTCTGTTCGGTTGGGGATCCAAATCGCGAGACAAGTTTCAGCCAACTCGAAACTTTTTGACCGCCGAGCACGTGCAATCGATGCAGACGCGGACGCTTCGAAATCCAGCTTGCGTCTTACCTTCTGCTCCTCTCTGCTCGCGCGAACGAACGCCGATTGCGTAACAAGTGCGCGCGCTAGCAAAAATCTTACTCGTGTGAATTCCAAATTCACCATCGATATCTCGCGAGTGCGAACACGCGTGCACCGGAGGAGGAGAGAGAAAGAGCGAACGATAAACAACGCGTCGCGTCGCGTCGGAAGGTGCAGAGGCGTGAAAATAGGCGGCGACGAAAATAACTGGAAATGCCCGGAAAAATGTTACGCGCAAGCAACAAGTGGAACAAGTGTATTAGAATAGCGGAGTCTTTCGGAGATCCTGTACGAACGATCGATTCGCTTTTCTTACCAATTTGTAAATAAACGACGCGTGAACCGAAATATCCCAGATTCTTCCAAGCCTCTTATTAAAACGATAAGAGACTTTACCGAATCGATGTTCGCAGATGTCAAACAGCTGACACTTGCCACATAATACGATAAAACTGTCGATGTCGTTGGAAGACACGAGTCACATTTTGTCATTGTACAAAAGAATAGTAAGCCACGGAAACATAGAAACATAGTTGACTGTAAATAAAGACGGCCGTAGAAAGATTAGTAGATGATTTTATCGTTGGTTCTGCGATCATCAACTGCGCGTTCCATAGTTTTACAAATTCTCGTTTCGTAAGACGAGACCGGTAATTCAGCCTAGGCTGGAAATATTATTAGCGATATTACAAGTATGCCAGCGTTATTTACAATCGTCTGGTGTCGTCGTCCCGCAAGCGTTACAGGAACAAATTAAAGAAGCAATCCACGGTGTACGGCCAGCCGTCATTCGTCGTACACTTCGACTTCGCTTTGATCTCTAAAGTGACACAGATTTGTTGTTGGTTGTCCGCGATGAATTAAGAACGACAATATTGTGCATCGTTTGTCTTACCACGATGCGAGGCAATTCCTAGTAAAAATTCATACCGTTGAAGAACAAAGTCGCGAACCGACCGCTAACTAACTTCAGCTTGCAACTTGTTGCTGTAAGACCGAAAATAAAATCGCGGAAATGCGAAAAACGAACGTCGTAACATCTAGATTTTCGAAAACAATTTTCGTACAACAGACCACGATAATTGGACGAGAGGCTGAGGAGGTTAATATTTTGTTCCCGCGCAACACAAATCCGTCTTCTTACCGCCATTTCTTTGCGATGCATATTACCATTTTAAATTCAATCGGTACATTGACGCCCTTGAGCAATAATGGCCTCCCCCACCAGCCCCTTTTTTCCGAGCACCTCTCACTCTTTCACCATGACAACTTGCAAATCCAGTTATATCATCTCTCGACTTTGTAATCAGCTGTGTGCAAGAAGGTGACTCGAGCGAGCGATCGAACGAACGAGCTTGCCCCTCGATGATAAATCATCGCAAGCTTTTGTACGCGCCACCGTTTTCCTTGCACGTGGTACATACGTAATAATTGAAAAGTTTCGAAGAGACTGCGTATCGTAAAATTTCAAGAAAACCAACACGGAGAAAAGGATTTTCCGAAAGCAAGATAAAGATAAAAAAAAAAAAAGCACCACCAAGGAGCAGAGCTATTCGCCTAGTTGCAATATTTAATGACCTTCGGACTTATGGAAATGTGCACGCTATCTGACACACGTGCAGATCCTGTACGGACGAGTTTCGAAGCCGACGACGATCTATGAATTAAATGTCAGTAAGGTCACGGTCGCGAAACAGCGAGGTATCCTTACCGTGGACCAACCGGACGCCGATAATTGTTCAATTTAAAAAATGCTCAACACTGTAGACACTCTACCGGAAAACGGTGTGCAACGGTACAACATTGTAATTAATTATCGCGTCCAACGTGTTGCACCGTGGATGGATTGACGTTTGCGTAGCGAATGCAAAGATAAGATTATTGTTGTATAATGGTTATCAACCGCGGAGGAAGTTTACAAACGAAAGTAAACATTTAAGGTTCGTGGCTGCGCGAACGGAAACCTCTAAAGAGATTCGCGCGAGTCGGTTTACTTGTTAATAATAAAACATTATTACCGCGAGAAACGTTTATACTAATTTTTTTGTCGACCGCGGACATTCAATGGTAAATCGTTTAATAAATACGATTTTCCATCGTTACGAAGGATAAAAATAACGCGTAAAATTGAAATAGAAAGCAACTTGGATGAATGTTACGTTCCACGCAAAGTTTGTTTTCCCTCGTATAAATATGTTCGCTTACGAACATGCATTTCTATAAACACCGAGTTGTTCGCAATAAACGTACTCAACGGTTAAACTGTCGTAATATGAGGTTTTATGATTACAGTTATTCGTGATCCTACTTAACTCCACTTTACATGCCAACGTAAACATTATACTTTCGTTTACGTAGACGCAAAGATGTTCGAACGATCGCGAAAACTCGACAACAATTTCTCATTGTCGACATATCTGCACTGCGGTCGAAGCATTTCATTGAAAAATCAAAGCTGAAAGGATGTAACCCTGCGCAAATGTTTAGTTTAAGCAAAGTATTGTGCAATCGAGAACATTGGTACCGTGCGAGAGCATATACATATAGTCCTTGCTAGATTCGCCACAATGTTGCCAATGTTCCGTGTCTTGCTATATTTAAGGTTCCCCACTACACCAGATGTTTTCCGTGACACTAATCATACATTATCGCGAGTTGATTCTCGGGTGTCACGAGTCCACTGTCTCTCGATAAATTCCCAAAACGTATTTTCCGAGTAGTAACAACGCGAACAAATCAAGCCTTTTCTCGGTCTACTTGTGTCTGTAAACGCGAATCTTATTTCGACGGTTTCAGTGGTATCGCGTGAACACGGTAACCGATAATCGACTTTACGGCCAACTTCATATTCATGAACCACAGGCGAACCAGCTTTACCGCGAATTCCGTACAAGAATCGTGAAATATAATTTGAAGTTAATCAAACGTACCAGAGAGAAACTAGATTCTCCCTGCTATCACTCTCGTGTTAACCAAAAAGAAATAGTATACGTGCCTCGAGTGAAAACAAAGAATCGGAATAGGTTAAAAACGAAGAGCAACAGTTTATAATGTACTCGCGCCGCGAAGCAAACGTACCATTTAACATATTCTTCCCTCGATTCTTGCCGTAATAATGCAACATGTTCGTAATAAAGCTCCGCTCGGTAGTCGTACGACCTTGAATAGTTGCGAACTCGAGCTTCGCGGTGTTTCGACGATAGAAAATTATCGCCGATCGTATCGATATCTGTTTCTCGATTACGAGTATTCTATTCGATTTTGATAACGAACCCGACGATAATACTTCAAACGTAAATGAGGATTCCAGAATATACACCGGGAGACATTGTAAAAACTGTCATTCTGGAAAAAAACTAAACGATGCATACACGTACTCCAAAGTCGATGCAAAGAGTAAGCGTGTTGCAAAAAGAAAAGAGAGAGAAAAAAAAAACGAATGCCACTAGTCCCAGAAGTTGAAAAACGCGTGACAATCCAACCATAGCGAGAATCCCAACGAAATTCAGCCTGCCAGACACGACACACGTTATCACACCCTCGAACTATATTACAAGAATAGCCTCGTACTCGTCTCGACCTACAAAGAACTTTATTACGTACAGAGAAGACGGTTGGTTTTCAGTGCATGCACGAGTCCTACCTTTTCAGTGCGAACGACAACACAGCGCTCCGATACGCCCAACACCGCCCTCCTTCGTCGGCTGCCGGCGCACGACTGTGGATAATTCGCGGTCGCGGCCGGCCTAGATATATACGAGCTATTTTTAGCAACCGTCGCCACCAACAACGATACCGATTGGCCGACGATGACGTGACCGAGCTACACGATTGGTTCATCTCGCGAATATGCCGCGAGTTCTGGTACAGGCCTGGCTCATTGCTGGGCGCGACTCCGCGGGCTGCGGGCACGACATTTGTTGACATGAAACTGTCAGGGAATACACGTTACACGCTCCCTCGCCTCGGTCCGCACTCTGCCGGCATTTCAGCCGCGTGTTGCGCTACGATCAACCGTACTACACATACAGAATGTTCCTATGCATTCTTACTTTCGTCCCTTTCCCTCGCTTCTAGCATTGTTCATTTATGACGATATCGTGAAAGATGCTTAAGGGTGTTCCTTTGTCCCGTTATTTCATATTTAAACTCTGTAAAAACACTTTTCATTTTGTTTATTTTTTTTTATCATTCTTATTCGCGGCAATAGTCGGCATATTTATATATTTGTAGTACATAATCGGAAAAATTCAACTCGTTTTTCTCGAAGGAAACTAATTCGATGAAATATGCAAAAGTTACTACTAGTAACTGGAACAAGGTTCGTTCGTATTCTTACAGTTACAGGTGAATAGCATATCTCGATTAGGGTGGGTGGAGAATAGAATTTATGGAGAATAGAAGCGATGGTAATAGACGACTATTAGCGCGGTGTGCACTATTAATTTGCGTTGAGCTTTCGAAAAGCCTTGAAGTTGGGCGGCGTGCCTCTCTTCGGATCTATGAAATCATAGATTTCCCGGCAACGTTATTATGCGAAAATTACGCTCTAAAATTAGTCACAGTCCATTACCGTGCGTGTATGGGATGGGCAAGAAGAGAAATAAATGCTTGAAACTCAAACTTTTTCGATACGCACATATCTCGCTATTAGTGTTCGCGACAACGACGATGATATATGCTAATCGTAAGTGAATCAAATGGTCGTAATGACACGATACACCGTTTATGTGTTCGCTCGTCGAATGCATCTCCGTTCTTGTTCTTAGTCACATGTCGTATCGTAAATTTATCTTTGATTGCTTACCTGTGTGTTAGTTGTGAATGCATCGCTACGTAAAAACGATTTTCACAGGGATTTCGGGGAAATGCTACGTTGTAATGGTTAATAACGTTACGGTTGATACTTTCGATTATCCATGTACCGCAAACGGGTCAAAATGACATTCTTATTCAACCATCTAAAACATTTAATCGTATCTTGCATAGAAATCTATGTTAAAATTTACTTTCAAATTACATGAACCGAATGATGGCGGCACTGGCGACATTCGTCTATCTATACGCAGACGAATCACGAATTGACAAAGATGGCGACGCACATGTCAACGTTATGTTTCGAGACAGCTTTAAATATTACAAAAGTCGAAATTCATCTCCCGATTTGAGGGATGTGATCGATTTAAATGATCCTAATTGCGATACAGTACGTCATAAATGATAACGTTTCTGTATGTTTCATGTGTATAGGATTCTGTTACTTTTTAGGTTATTTGTACTTCGATTAAAAGGGACTTGTTGAATGAATATTGTGAACATGAATTTGGATTGATGCCAGTGAAAGACTGGAAAGTCTATGAATTTTTAGATATTCCAGGTACTAATGTTGTTATTATAAAAACAGTCTTCAAGTTTAACTATTTTATGTGCACACGTAGGACTTATCTTCGTAAAAAATCCATTTACCACCGATGGGCAACGGTACTGGATCATAAAATGTTTAAAAGATTATTCGGCGAAACCTTATAAATTAAATCTAGATGCGCATCATCTTTTAACCAATGATGAAACTTGGTGGGATCTGTGTTTTGGGTAAGATTAAATATTAGAGATATAAAGAAACATATTGAAAATATATACATTTACTATGTTAATTTTAGAAACTCTGACAAAGATATGGTATTACTACCAAAATTACGTTGGGCAACATTGGGGTATCATCATAACTGGGATACAAAATTATATTCCGAAATGAATAAAACACAAATCCCTGACGAATTATCATCGTTAACATCATTTTTGGCAAAAATTTTAGGTTTTATGGATTTTAAAGCAGAAGCAGCAATTATCAATTATTACAGAATGAATTCAACTCTCGCAGGTCATACAGATCATTCTGAAGTTAACATCAAAGCACCTTTATTTTCTATCAGTTTTGGTCAAACTGCAATATTTTTAATTGGAGGATTCACGAAAGATGACGCAGCTAAAGCTATATTCCTACGAAGTGGAGATATAATAGTAATGTCAGGAGAGTCTCGTTTGAGGTATCATGGAGTACCAAAAATTTTAACAGACACAGCAGAACCTTGGAATGACAAAGAATTGATTAACAATGAAAAACGGTATTGTAAATGGGATTATAATAACTGGAACAAAGCAAAAATGTATATTTCTGAAGCTAGAATTAATATGAATGTAAGACAAGTACTAAAACCTGGGCAGACAGATTTACTGTAAATAATTGTTCAAAATATTCTTGTACAGTTTTAATAAAAAATACTTATATTAATTACATTATCCTTAGATACTTATTTCTTGTATTATATAAATATCAGTTTAGTTTACACTCGCGGTAGAAGCTGCTCGATAAAAATACAAAAATTTATCCTATTACGTATTTTCTTACTATTATTATTAGATGTATTAATAATAGTTCATTGGGAATTTAAATGTTATTGTTTGGACCATTTTCTCTTATTGTTTCGTTTGCGATATTGTTTTTAAACATATTATAAACATCGAGAAAGTTCCATGCAATTGTCGCCATTTTTAATAAGAAATCTTGCGAATTCGATATCCATTCGTGTGTAGCATGGATCATCGTATTATATTTACTGTAGTAAATATTTGGATGAGAACTAGTAGATTCTGATAATATCACAGGCATATATGGTTTGAGCAAAATATTAGTAGCATCTCGTACTGCCTTATTCAGAATAAAATCTTTAGAAATATCTGGTGTATGCACCATTTTGTTCGGTCCGATTTAATTGACGGCTCACCCAAAGGGAAATCTAAACATGGCTATAATAAACATTTCTTGATAACTTTTATTTTATTTATAAATTAACTTTGCACAAACCTATAATTTTCGTTGATTAATATTCATTCTCATGAGGATATTCTCGCAAGCACTTATTATTATTCCTGATCCAAAGCAGCTTCTACGCGATTTATGTGGATTGACAGCACACACATCTATTCTGAATATATTCTGTGATTCGTCATCTCTAACAGAAAAACAACGATTTTCTTTTCTTAATCGTTGCACAAAAGAAGCTCTCATTTTTTCAAATGTAAAAAAATTATTATATTTTTCTGCCATTGGAAATTACTTTAATACATTCACTCCCCATTACTTCATTTTTTCGTTAGATTAATTTGGAACGATATATTACTTGCTTTAATTTGATAAAATTTTAATTTAATTATGAAAATGATATAATTTTTGAACCGTTAAAACTGAAATCTGTAATGTTAGTGTTGACACGTTTCGTTCTTCCATTGTTCTGTATCAATCAATATGAGGAAGTATTTTGTAAATATACAAAAAAAAACAGTTATCAAATAGGAAGTCTAATATTAAAAGTAAAGCATGATTTTGGTATTTTGAAAATCACGCGCCTTTTCAAGTACAACTGCGTTTACTCGAAACTTCCGATATCACAAGTCAGCTGATCAATCCCATTCCTGTCTGCTTTATAGTAGTTCTGATAGTTATGTCTGGAAAGGATAAACTTGCAATTTTCCCCTCTCGGGGGTGAGTATTTTACATATAAATTATTTTAACCCTTTTCATCTGTTCATCAACTTTATTTATCATCTATTCAACATTCATTACGATTTCTTACCGAATTATATTGAATTCCTAACATACTAACGTTAGATGGGTGTAACCCTATCTTAGTGTGTTTTAAACGTTCAAGTGACATTTTTAAATACAATTACGAAAATTGATGATATCATAGTTTCTTTGCACATTTTATTTATCGATTTCGTTAAACCGACTTTAAAGGACAGTATAGCATATATAATTTCCTGTAATATAGATAAAGTAATTTAAGCTATAAATAAAATAATGCTGGATTTTAATTAATGTATCTTTTTTTTCAGCGCACAAATGTTAATGAAATCCCGTTTACAGGGAGCACAAAAAGGTCATGGCTTGTTGAAAAAGAAAGCAGATGCATTGCAAATGCGTTTTAGATTAATCTTGGGTAAAATTATTGAGGTATAAATTGTCTTGCATATATTTGTAACTGCTTGGTATCTGCTATAATGTTTGTATTTGTTACATTTCAATGTAGACAAAAACACTTATGGGAGAAGTAATGAAAGAAGCAGCTTTCTCATTAGCTGAAGCAAAATTTGCAACTGGAGATTTTAATCAAGTAGTTCTTCAGAATGTGACAAAAGCACAAATTAAAATTCGTTCTAAAAAAGATAACGTCGCAGGTGTTAACCTTCCAGTGTTTGAATCATACCAAGATGGCACAGACACATATGAATTAGCAGGTTTGGCAAGAGGTGGTCAACAATTAGCCAAGTTGAAAAAGAATTATCAAAGAGCAATCAAGTTGTTGGTAGAATTAGCATCTTTACAGACAAGTTTCGTAACCTTAGATGAGGTTATTAAAATCACAAATCGTCGTGTAAATGCTATCGAGCATGTCATCATTCCAAGAATTGAAAGGACTCTTGCTTATATCATTTCTGAACTGGACGAATTGGAGAGAGAAGAGTTCTATCGTCTAAAGAAGATACAAGATAAAAAGAAACAAGCAAAGGCTAAGGTAACATTTTACAAGTTGAATTGTTTTACTTTTTAATGGAGCAGCTCCAGAGATTATTTTATTTTTCAGCTTGAAGTTGCTAAAGCTGCAATGGTAGGTGTCGGGAACGACGTATATACTCCAAATATGTTGGATGAAGGAGACGATGATATTTTATTCTAAAAACTGTAAATAGATTCTTTTCACATGCTAAAGTATTACGAAAAAGTATGTTTCAATTCTGAGTGAATGTGTTAAAAGTGTGAATATTGAAGTATGATTAAACAAAATGATTTAATCCTTTCACAAATATCCTTAGACAATATTAGTCTTACAGTACAGCTATGTTACATCGAAAATTGTATTAACGAAATGTGGTTAGTATATATCAACAAATAATGATAACATTTTTTAGTTACATTATGATGCAATATATGCATAAAGAATCTATTATGTTAACAATATCTCTTGTTGACTGCATATCGCTAGCTTGGTATTTTGTTGAAACTGCTATTGTGTATAAACACTTTCAGTGTATTCGTGTTATTATAGAAATAAGGGTATCGGTAAATGAGAATCTATTCGCGATAGATAGAACATTCTAAAATCCAGTATTTAGTAAAAATTTATGAATAATAAACATGTACATATACGTTTACTCCTTATGTCTTAAATTCCTGTCCATTCCCCATAATCGTATTCTTCCTATTTTTCATAAAAAGCGTGGCCTATTTAGTTGCTAATAGCATATAATTTTTTGTTTTCAAAGCATAATAAACAAATGCCTATTTTTAATTGTATATTCTATTGATAATTAAAGGTCGACACCTAATATCATAAACTTGGAATCATTCGTTAAGAGCTACGGATACTATCGGTATCCGTAATGAGCGCTTCTCGCCAAGAATAATTAAAAAAAATGCATACTCAATGTAGCCAGTAAATTTGTTGAACTGGGTCAATCAATATATGGACCTTTTCCCATATGAGCAAACTCTCCCTACTAAGGGTGGTGCGCGTGTGGAAAATCGTTTCAGTGCGCGGAAAATTCGTGCGGTGACCACCCCAAAGATGTCGTCCGAACATTTAAAAGTTGTACAAGTCCCAGAAAATCGCTTTGACGATGCAATCTATCACTTGAAATGGAATTTCTTTTCCGACGAACCGTTGAATCACGCGGTAGGACTCTGCGAGAAAGGAGAGAGTCAGTTCGAGCTGGAGAGACACTGCTTGCTCACATTAAAGCAAGGATACTCGAGGATGCTGGTAGATCAGAATGGGACGGTAAGTGAAATTAAACAAATGAAACTCACTAATTGTTGTTTGAAAAACGTCCATATGTTTTTCTTCGACCGGGTTTATTTTGTACGGTACTATAAATTTTGTATCGGCGAACGAATGTTTTTCCATGATATATGGACCTTGAATATTAAGTTCATTATCATATCAGATAGCAGGAATGGCTCTGAATGGTATCCTAAAAAAGGGAGAACGCGAAGAGGCCGAACGTCGTCTTGCCGAACTGAACGATGAAAAATTCAAAATAATTTTTGGACTTCTCTACAAAGTTAACGAAAAAGTCGATCTCTTTTCCAAATATAATGTCGATGAATTGTTCGAGTGTCGAATCCTTAGCGTGGACGAGAATTTTCGTGGAAGGGGTTTAGCGAACATTTTGATGGCAGATAGTATAGAAACAGCAAGAAATGCTGGTTTCAAGGTAATTGCGAATATCGGAATATGTATTTATAATGTTTAATCGTAAATGTAATACGTTAATGTTTAATGCATTTTAATGCATGCATTTAAGTTCAGTGAAAAAAACGTTATTTATAAATTAAGTTCTCCTAAAACGGTGCTCCGTGACCTTTACCAATCGCTAATGTACGCGTATTCTAATTTTATAATTTCTGATTTTTTGTATGGTCTGAAAAAAGCAGAATTTAACACGTTTTACTGTATTAAACGATTATTAATACACATTTTGTCTATTTAAAGAGAAAAAATAAATAAATTTGTATGCATCTGCTCGTACGTGTATAGCACTTTTACAGCACTTGGTGCCATGGAAAGTTGACTGTTCGATGAAGTTTCACATTCTATTTTTGTTTCAGCATGTTCTTCGATTATAATGCATGGGATGAATTTTCGTTTCCCAAGATGTAATTGCAATGCACTCGTTACTTTCTCGAGAGGTATTTTTGCACGCAGTGTATGTACATTTGTGAAAAATGAATAGTTTACAAATCGGTACTCATCATTTATCGATGTATTTCCAGGTGTTCAAAGCGGACGCAACTGGAATGTTTTCACAAAAAGTATGCTTAAAACACGGTTTTCAGGTAGAGGCGGAGATTCCGTATACGGATTGCGATGAATCGATCAGACCGGCTCCTCCTCATCAAGCTTTAAAGCTGATGGTAAAACTATTAAACTAGAAAGGAACGAAAATGAAACTGAACATTGTTCAAGAAATTTTCGATAAACAGAAATATGTTGCAAAAGAGCAGTAGAGTAAAACTATGTGTATCGTTGTGCGACAATAACAGCTCTCTAATGTATGTTTGTCTCAAAGACGTATTTACAGAGTAATTATATTCAACAAAAAAGGGCGGGTCGCGTGTTTCTCGTAGAACATATTCAAAATTCGAAACATCGGTTACTGCCCCTTGTCTGTGTTTCGAACGATGTGTTATTATTAAACATAAGAAAAAAATAAAAAATTCTAGTTGACAAATGCTAGAATGAAGATCATTTAAAATTTTGTTGTTTGCATTCTGTCAATTCAGAACGAACTTATGAGGTTAGCTGCTTTGGTATACATAGTAAAGAATGAATGTTATACGAAATAATATTTACGTCTTTGTATATGACGAAACAGCATACCAGCATACATAGCAATCTATTGGGAGACGAAAATTATGTGTCAAATGTTGTAGTTTGACGTTTGTTAACTTTTCTGTACATTCTACAGTGTCCTGATGGTAATATGAAAGTATATTGTATACGTATAAGTAGGTACACAATCCTTGATGTTTCCGACTATGTACGGATTTTTTTACAGCCATCACAAAAACACAGAACACGGATTATTGCAAAATCCGTATGTAACGATGTATCGAAAAGAGTGATTTGTATAGCTCATGGTTTCAGGAATTACTGGATAATGGGTCCACACGAGTATAAACTAAAAGTTACAAGAAATATTTTTGTTGATATCACGTGTTACGAAAATATATTACAAGTTATTTTGTAAGAATATCCGTCAAATAAATATTACAGTTTATAATGACTTGTGGCTTACGATACGTCCTATCGACAAACATTAAATTTCTTAATTACCAATAATAATTAATCAATGTATACTAGGTGCAGTTCCAACTAAATAAGTACAACTTTATTTCTGCGATAACTGTATAAATATGCAATGCAGTAAGCATGCCTAACAATTTATTCTTCATAAGAATTATATAATTTAAAAAGGAATGCAGTCTTGCAACAATATTTATACATACAATAGCGAGACCTAAAAGTTTACTTGGGGTCTGAAATATTTTTGTAGTTTATTTGCTTTAAATTGTAATTGCGTAGAGTATTTAGCTTGTATTCTTTGCATATATTTGATATCCCTGGCCTTCTTTACAGCAGCTTCGTGTTGCGTTTCTGTCCATCCAAGCGCTCTATACTGTGAGAGCACTTTACGCAATTTTTCACTTTTTGGTATCGCAACCGCTCTATTCGGATTTAAGTTTTGTCTATAATATCTCATCAGCGATCGATGCCCGATAACGTTTCCCGATGGTAATACTAGTTGATAGTCGTTATCATCTAATTCGGGTATTTCAACTTCCGCATCTGGATCGCCGGTTTCTGCATCTGGGTAACTCGACGAATAATCGTAAAATTCTGCGTATTCTGCGAGCGCGTCTCCTTCGTGCAACATTTTACAATGTCCTTTGTCGATCATGTGTGTTCTGGCAGCTTCCGCGCTTTGAAAACTTCTGCCTGTTAATATATCGAATACGTGTAATCAAAATGGCGTATATTATAAAATCTAGGAAGCAGAAATTTCAGTATACTTACCAGAACCGTTGCACCAAATGCACATGTATCCTGCAAAAATTTTTTCTCCTAGGTAAATAAGTATACCTTTGATATCTATGCAATATTCCGGATCCGGTATAAAGAACGAATGCGCAACAGTCATGTGTTTCAAATTGCGCACCAAAGATCTACTATGATGATTGCAAAACAAGCAATTGTTGTTTCTTACTGGGTTTTCGGTATATTCGACCCATTCGTCGGAATCTACAGACTCGACCTCGGAATCTACATCCATGTCGTCCGTCGATTGTTTACTACTGCTGCTAGAACTTTCCTCGTTAACATTCTTTGTTTCAGAATTAGGGGAAGAACCAGCATTACTATTTAATTCTTTACTCGTAGTTTCCGAATTTCCGTCATGTTTGGCATATTTCTCCTTGTGTTTTTTCGACAATAAATGATTTTCATACTGATTTTTCGTATTAAAATTTTTTCTGCATATTTTGCAATTCGTTACTTCTTCTTCTCTTTCCTTGTCATCTTTGTTCCTTTGCGCGATTACCCTCTTCTGAAACTCTTCAACCGTAACAGGAGGTAATTCAGCTACTTTTCTTTTTAAGTTGTATCTGTGCCAATCCGACTTGTAATGTTGCCTTTGCACTTCTAAATCACGAAATGCCACACGACATGTGATACAAGTAAATGGCGAAGCCATTTTTGTGCAGGATTTTAATGTACCACAAATGTAAATCGGAAATTGATATTAACAATGTTCAAAGTTTAATTTCTTCGATTAATAAATGTTTATCGTAATATAATAAATAAAGTGATTTGATTTATTATAAAACGAAGAGAGCCATAATACGCACCACGTGCGTAGTCGCTTTCTACCTTAGCACTGAGGTTATGTTACCGATTATACAGTTAGCTCGATTCGAATACAAGTACACTCAAAGACTGATATTGCATCCGCGTGAAAGCAAATTTTATATCTATTTTAAAATTGATAAAGCAAGAAAAGTTTTTGATGAATCATTGGTAAAAAGTTCTGTATTTAATTTTGATCGTAATTGGACGAAAACAAATACCAAAATCATGGCGAAATAAAATGACCGAGTAATCGTACTATGTAGATGCTATTACTGGCGTCAACAACGATAACAATGATAATTCTTCGGTAATTGCATTCTTGTATTAATTCAGCTGTGTGAGATATCGAGCAACCGTTGAAAAAATTCACAACTTTAGCCTTTCTTCACTTCATATTATTATTTTAAATGATATATCAGGCTATCTGGTCGTTCGAGCATAGACTATTTACGATTAGACGAGACAGTCGCCGTACTGCTGTATAATTTTCTCAACCTATCGCTATTGGATTTGGATTTTGAATATGTAGATGACGTAGATGTAGCCGCAGACAAATTTTTAATCATTTTGTCATTTCATTAAAGAAATAACCGAAGGAAAATGATAAAATTGCTATTACATCATTGTTGGCGATACGGATGATCACATGACTCGAGGAAAAAACCGTCCACTCGGTGAAGGTAGAGCGTCGGTGTTATCGACAGGGAGTCACGGTCCGAGTCGCAACTCGCAAGTTACGTTGACGGCCCTGACGGTTTCGTGGAGCGTTTGCAGTTGTGTTCAGGCAGTAGTCGTCTCAGAAGCCGGATCGTATCGAGTGCACGTCGCGAGCAAAAAAGTTACGCACAGCACAGCACGTAAAGCCGCAGAAACCTCGAGCGGTTAACAATTCGACGAGAGAAATAGTTGTCATCGTGTAGGAAAAGCACCGAGAAACCAGAAGGCATCGACACGGTGTCACGGCGAAGCGACTGGCCGTATTCACGATCGACTTCCACAGCCGATACCATAGAAAGACGTAAAACGAGACACTGGGGTACACCCGACAGGGCGATCCATCTGTCTCGAAACACCCACGAACACCCGTTCAATTTTCACGCTAGAAGGCGGCCGTCCAGCAGGGCGATACCATTTTATATGACTTTTCTTCGACGTCAAGGTGAGTGAAACCAGGGCATGGTAACGACGACGACGGCAACGTCCTATCCGGTATCGTTTCGTTGCCTTTCGACGCTAATTTTAGCGACCAGCCATTTTGGACACGAGAATGTGCGCGATCCGTGGAACGGCTCGTTTCTACGGAAATTATCATTTCTCTGTCCTTTTCGCGATTGCGATTGCCTTCTTTTTCTAGCACGTTCAACTTTTCCTCTATCCATCTCTCTCTTTTTTTTTTTGCTTTCCGCGTTTTCTCTATTTCCGCAACGTAACGGCGTATCGATATTACTCTGAATTCTTGAACGCAATGAAACCTGTGCGGGTTGTCGTTCGAGTAATCGCGAGATTGTGATAACACTCGTGTAGCGTATCGATGAATTACATTCTCTTGTTTCTGAGAATATTGAGAAACAAGTAAAACGGAGCTATCCACACGTTATAAAAAGCATCGAATCGAAATATCAAAACGTTATAGCGTTGATTACACCTCCGAATTAAAATTGAAACGTCGAATTTCTTTATGACAGACGTTGCGTAAAATATTAATATTTATTTCTTGTTGGATTTCCTCTTTGAGTGTAACGTGCAACGTCATTCGTCGATCAACAATTACGACGATGAATCGACTGTTCCGCGCAAGAAAGTCGATTCTTTCATATTAACCGGCATAGTAACATTGAACAAGAGATTAAAATAATTTACATAATTTCAATGTGATTCTACTGTGTCGAGCATTCGTCGTGTAACGTATTTGTTGACATTGCAATGAGCAGTAGATGTCTTGGAATATTCACGCGTAATATCATATGTATTTCGAAACTATATCCGATACAGCGAAACTTGATCTGGTGTAAGACTACGAACGGGTTAACTCTTAACTCTTAATTCTTAAATTGTAAGAGAATAATACGGCTTATACGGTAAACAATTTGTTATAAATTGAATGAAAAAATTGACATTAAAATAGCTCGTTATTCGCTTGTGAATTACGGTTGTCTTTAATCGTCAAAAGGAAACCGCAGCTGGTTTCGAAACTGATTCTCCGAACAGTCTCGTGTAATCAGACCTTTTGCACCCTTCGCGCACACTCGTCTTATTTTGTCCATTTATCTATGGCTTAAGATGGCCTGCTTTGACCCTTAAGTATGCATAGTCACACGACGCACGATAGCGATGCAAAATAATACCTCTTAATCAGCTCTCAGCGGTTCTCAAGTGTTGCTCCCAGACCGGAAATCATTTCTATCGAATTGCGTCGTTTCCGGACAAAATCGCTCGACGGTTTTCCGTAGAAACGCTAATAAATTTCTAATAATATTACAGCGACGTTGATTTACTATTTCCCAATCGATCGACTCCTTTGCGCAACTAGATAATGATTGTGACGCATTCGAGATAACACTGTGACGATTCGAAGCAATAAATAGCATAAAATCTTTTAACCTCGACTGGTAGAGTTCAATTAAACACAGTCCTCTCTTACCGGTTTTTATTTGAATTTTATTTTAGAAAGTCGGACTTGCTACACCGAACGTTTACGTTACGACGAGAGCGAGATTAACATTATCTTCGTTTCTACGATTCAGACACTTGAATTTATAAACTAACTAATAAATTCTTGTCTACGATCTTACCGACAACTTGGTGTCAATCGCACCTTATCGCGATAAAATTCATTACCGTTTGATCGTGTCATCCATCGTCCGATATACGGAAAACTAGCGCATCCCATCGTATGCACGCGATGGTGGACCCGATGCACAGTTTAGCCTCTGTGGCTAAAGATTACCGATCACGCGAGTATCCCTACTAGAATGAAATCAATTTCAAGTTGGCAAGCTGTTGAAGCTGTCGAAGCTGTGAAATATCAAGGTGTCCTCGTGGCGAGCGATCGGTGAAATCTAACCTTGCCTCAAGTCCGGTACATCTAAGACCGACATACTAGAAATTCCGCGTCGTTCGTTAGGTCCGGATCGGGCCACGTTCCGATCAATATACGGCGTATGGCGTATCCCCGTACAGAGGACGCGTGCGCGAGCACCGGAGCCGTGGAGTAGGCCGACCCGGGACCCGAGAGAGCCACGAGCACGCACGACGGCGATGACGACGACGACTCCAGTTACGGCAGCCGGTAGAGAGTACATACACGTTCACAGCTCACAGCTCACAGCTATCGTCCGCAATCCGTCGTAACGTGTGCGTTCACGTAACAGCGCCGCGAAAGACCAACACTTTTCGGCCGATTATCAAGCGGAACCGGCGATTCTCTTCCTCGATCAAGCTCTCCCTCTCTGGCGAGAGTCTCGAGGAAGACGTAAAGACACCGAGAGTACTACCACACCACCAGCAACAGCCACGATCGCAAATCACGACTTATGCGTCTGTACCGAGCAGGTAAAGATCCTCGGCGGTGCTACACCTCCTCGTCGCTCGATTCTTGGGTTTCGGGCTCCGTCCAACGGAGATACGATACTTTTTCCTACTCGACGAACGAAGATTACTTCAAAGTTTTGGCTTCTTTTCGCATGGATGCTAAGATGGTTTTGCAATCTGTGTCCTTCCAACGATCAACTTATTGTTCCTAATCCATCGGTGTATCGGGATGAAAAGTTTCACGAGGTGACGGCGATTTATCATCGGCTGTTACCAGCGATCATCGTTCCCAAGATGTTTCGTCGTGTTGCTGAAATCTGGGCCTTGATTCTTCTCTCTCTTCCCTCTCTTCTCTTTTTCTCTTTCTCTCTCGGTTCAGTTTCGTCTGTTACAAGCAGTGTAACGTGCATCGACGTGGCCCCTTTGCGCATTGTATGACACGATGCAACGTGACCGTATGCATTGACTGCCTACCTTTTTTCTCAATCGAAATACGCTTCCATCCTGCGACGTTTGCTTACAGCAGCGAGTTAGCCACCGCTGCCAACCGTAACAACCTTCTGCTGGTGAACATGTGTCGCGGACAGTTGAACCACCACAGTTGCTACCACCAACTGGACTTGGTTTGATCGCGTTGTGATGGGAGTGGTTTCGCACCTTTAATCTGAACGTACTTGTCGAACGAGAACGATACGATTACACGAATTTCGAACATTTTTTAATCGACGGTTCCGTGTTTCTAGCAAGTTTCACGAAAATTCGATGGACCGCTCTTATCAATCGACACGAATCTCCATCTTTTCGAGAATTATTTTTCGGAAAGGAAATACGTTGATCGTTCTTCTTCGATTTAGGTGTTGATAACTCGCCGTCCGATAAATCTAGAAAATAAATAATTATGGTAGGGGCGTGGAACGAAGACAGCGGGTGAACGTGAAGCGTTCCTCGTGGGTTGACTTACCTACGTATCTATCTATATGTACCTCTACTCGTTGGCGTCGACTCGTTGTTTATGCGGTTGCATAAAAAGATTTGCTGAGCAATGGATACGAAGCAAACGTTATCGCTGCTCTGTAATTGTGCGACGGACATTTAAATAAATAATTTCACGATGCGGATCGCTGATGATCCACGCCGAGGATCGCGCGCATAGTACAGTTACGTTGTACGGAGCGGTCTTAAAATATTTGTCGTCTGTCCTGCTGTTAATTGCATCCTAGTTTTACGATTAGAGCAGTTATCGTTTGACATTTGAGCTACTCGGGTTTGTAATGCGAAATCCTGTTTCCATTAGAAGTGGATCGATACGCAGGGGAGCACCTTTAGTGCTCGTCGTTGCATTGATAAACGGCTATCGCTACGAAACCGCTGCGGTTAAAATTCTAGGCTGTTATTTTACTATTTACGCATGCTCGTAATCGCAACATTACACACGTGAGAACGTCGATATCTCGAGGGACGTCGGTCGATGCGCAAACGAATTTCTTTACAGGAAAAAACTACTTTTCTCCGTTGATTTGTTGCAAGTAATTTCTACTCTAATCGAATCGTACTTATGGTAACCGATTGGACCGAATCGGTGCACCTTCAGATCGATGGGATTCTCGATGAATTAACGGAGCGTGTCATGGTAATCTATATCGTGTTTTGTTGCACAATTCGTTTGTTTTGTTTCGAGATAATGTCGTTCGGCAAAAGGTCTACTTTGTTGCTTCGTTTCCGGTAGGTCTAGTTTGAAAGGTTTCTCCGGTAGGGCACGTGCGCGTGTGACTTTAGCTACGATGATTCTGGCATGGTCGGTCTCGTCCAAACACCGCCTAGATGATCGTTAATAATCGCGAATAAATGAAACGCATACTGGACAAAATTTCCGAACCATCGGCGCCCATGGGAACCAGGCAACCGACGTACAAATGATCGACCTTTATATTAGTGAAAATCATCCCCGATGTTCTCGTTCTGGAAACGTTTTTAGCAGACCTACTCTCTATGCGGACAAATTTGTTCATCTCGCGTCAAGACATAGCCTAACGTTTGCGAAACGTCTTCCGTTCTTTGAATTGAAATGATTTGGATCATCGAAGATAGGTTCGTGCTCGGACCATGTACGATTTAACCATGTGTTTCTTTGATTGGTATCGAACCAGCGTTAGATGATTCTAGCTCGAATAACGTTCTAGATAGGAGCTAGTAGGTTTTGGCGACTAGTGATAGCGAGGTTGTTCTCGTTACAGAAACATTCAGGATATCATCCAGAGGGAAAGGATCGGTGTACAGCAAAGGCGGCGGTAGTAGGACATTGTCCAAGCGACTCGTAAACGGCAACATCATCTCCTTCGCACGGTATAGTCGTTTGTTGCGTGGAACCTGTGAGTTAACCATTCCAACCTGGTACCCAGGCTTTCTTAGGGGCACAAGCAACGGACAGGCAGCGTGTATGATCATTGAAGACTATCCCCCTCTGCCTACTAAACCGAGGCAATACCTTCATCAAGATACCACCCAACGATTTCTGAACCACCTGGTCCTGCCTAAGCACAGGACCTCAAAATTTTCCAGGTGGGTGTCCTCCGATCCTAGAAAATATTTAATCCGTGTAGCGAAAAGAAGAGGAAAGAAAAGAAAAGAAAAGAAAAGAAAAGAAAAATTAACCGACTCGTTTGATTTCCAGTAATAGGCATCGGAAGCTACAGCCTTTCAGAGAAACGTGACTGACGTCAGTGGGTAGTGCGGCAAATCTTACCGCAGACGACAAAAATCACCCTGACTCGACACGTTACGAGCTACCATCGGGTAGCCATTGCCTGGCAACGTCGCTGCACAGCAATCAAACTGCCGCTGGGAAACGTGAAAAGTAGATCCAGAAGGACAAGGACGAAGACGTTACCTACCTGAAGAAAAACAAGATAGGCAAAGATATCGAAACGAGCTATTAAAAGCGTGCGGCTTCGGCGTCAGTTTTAACGCAACTCGTCAACGCGTTCGCAACGACGTCTCGTAAAAAGGTGGTGTCATTTCGAAAGGACGTTAAATTAGCGAGGAGCAAGAGGTGGAAATATCAGTCACCATGGGGAGTGTCAACGTTAACCGTAACGTCAGCGATGCGTTTTACCGCTACAAAATGCCACGGATCCAAGCTAAAGTCGAAGGCAAGGGTAACGGCATCAAGACTGTAATCGTGAATATGGTCGACGTTGCCAAAGCGATTGGAAGACCTGCTACTTACCCGACCAAGTACTTCGGCTGTGAACTTGGAGCGCAAACTCAATTTGATTTCAAAAACGAAAGATTTATTGTCAATGGTTCGCACGACGCCACTAAATTACAAGATCTTCTCGATGGATTCATTAGAAAATACGTTCTTTGTCCGGCCTGCGATAATCCCGAAACAGAACTGATAGTCAGCGCGAAGAAAGGAACCATCTCGCAGGGATGCAAAGCCTGCGGTTATCATGGACTATTGGAAAGCAATCACAAGTTAAACACCTACATCCTTAAGAATCCACCCAGCCTAAATCCCGCAGTTCAAGGAAGCTCTCTAACAGAAGGAAAACGCGGAAAACGTTCGAAACGCGCCAACGGTGAAACTACCACCACAACTACCGCTACTGCTAATGGCGATCGATCTGGTTCTCCGGAGAACGATACCAGCACAACCGATATCGTGGTCGAAGCTCCTGAAAAAGTGGCAAACGAAGAGGCAGACGATGTTAATTGGGCCGTCGACGTGTCGGAAGAGGCAGTTAGAGCTCGTCTGCAAGATTTAACGGACGGAGCAAAAGGAATGACCATCAACGATGATCTCGATAAGACTGAAAACGAACGAATGGACATGTTTTATAAATTAGTCAAATGTCGTCGCGACGCTGGGCAACTGGACAATCATAAAGAGTTGGTAGCGGAGGCTGAACGTCTGGAGATTAAGACGAAGGCGCCGTTGGTTTTGGCCGAACTACTCTTCGATCAAAACATTGCTGGTCAAGCAAAAAAATATCGAGTACTTTTGCTTCGTTTCACGCACGATGACATCAAGGCACAAAAGTATTTAATCAGAGGAATCGAACAAGTAATAGCCCTGCATAAAGATGTATTGATGTCAAAAGTCCCTGGCATTCTAAAGGTAAGACGAAAGTAGCGCTTCTAATTTTACAACGACAATCGCGATTATTCTTGTATCTTGACTCGTTGGATTATCTTGCAGCTCTTTTACGATGCCGATATTTTGGAAGAAAAAGCCCTATTCGAGTGGGCGAGCAAAGTCACTGGAAGATACGTATCGAAAGATTTATCTCAAGAAATTCATGATAAAGCTGCACCGTTCATAACTTGGTTGAAAGAAGCAGAAGAAGAAGATTCGGAGTCGGAAGAAGAAGACGACGATTTGGAGGTAAACTTGTTTGGAAAGAGCGTTAAATGTTAATTGTTTACAGATACCGATACCGAAATGTAACCGTGTCTTCTTTTTTTTTTCTTTGTAGATCGAATACGACGATAGAGCCAAACAATCGCTAAAACCACAACAGTCAACGCCTGTGCAGAAACCTGCTGTAGCAAATGATTCGGATGATGCGGATGATTTTGACATCGATGCCATTTAAAGATGTAATGAAAATGAAAAGATGCTCAGTAGTCGGACTTGAAGAAAATGAGGAAAGAAACGAATAGGAAAAAATATGTCCGATAAACGATGCTATACGATTATTTCTCACACGATACAAAGAATCGCAATGCAATCTCTTACTATATCATACATGTATAGGATTTTGTTATTTTAGGTCAAGGAGTGATTACAATGCCATTATGATGTACGACAAATTTTAACTGTTCCACAAGTTTAGCAATATTTATCGGTACGGTAATACTTTTTTAATTGTTTTTTTAAACAAGGTGATTCGATGATGAATCATCTTATATCATTATTCACAATGATTACTGAGCGATTTTTTTTAAACGATCGATACTTGTATACGTTGATTCGCGTCTCCTTTAGAAGAAAAATACAACACGATATTAATAGTTACATCGTTACTGGGAAGTTGGCCTGCTAAAAGCGTTCTCTATTGTATCTATTTACTATTCAATTAATAATTATTCAAATAAATATGGTTTATCGCAATGTATACCAAGAAAAATTAATTTGCACCCCTTCGACAAAAATACGATACATCGATCGTATCGTATTCGTATCGGGTAAAAAGATTTTTCCAAGAATATATATTCACAAATATCACACTTACTCGACCCTGAAATTCTATGTATATTGTATGTATGTAGGTAAACGTCCATCACGGTCCGCTATAAATTTTACTCATTGTCTGTCACTAGTGCCGGGTTCACCTTAGAGTAACGATGAGATTCAAACTTGTTTGTTTTGAAATCGTCGAACGGCTCGAATTGGCTCGATGTTCCCACATTTTTTTTTCTGTTGAAAGTAAACTCTAGATAGAATGAGTCACCGCACCGTTGAACACCGGTTGTGCGTGCGAAACAAAGCAGTAACGCTCTGTTCGTTTAGTGTCGCGTATCATTCCTTGACGGCGTTAGGCATCCTTTCGACTTGTTTTTTTGCATCTGGTTTCATTTCTGTCTTTCGGCACATGATCGAATCTTCAATTACAACGATACTGGCCTTTGTAGCAGTGGTGCCATCGCTGAGAAATACTTGCTTCTGTTGGTGCTAGATGGCGAGTGGTTTAGTATCGGTTACAAAAATGTCCAAGTTGAGCTGTTTACAGAGCGGCTTGGCGAGTGGCCTTTTTGGATGCAGACGTTGTCAAACGCTAGCGAATATCGAGAAACAAACAAATTAACACGGCTAGGAACTTAGAGGAAACGAACCGTACAGCGTTAACACGAAGCATCCTAGTACCCGACTATGCCACAAGATGGCGACGTTAGTGCGAATCTGGCAAGGCTCGATATAGTTTATGTCGTGACGTACATTCTAGTTAGTGGTTTTCAATCCAACAGGTGTTACGGAACGCTGAGTTTTCGTCAAAGTTTTCAATATTACGTTGTCGCGAATATGTATGTGTGTGCGCGTAAGTTTGTTTCTGAAATCCTTGTGGTAAATCTGATACGGTTATTATTGGTTTCGAAACTGTATTTTATTCTTCTTTGAGACTGCGTGTACTCGGAAAGTGGTTTATCAAGCATAAAACGTACCACATTCGAGAAAACGTAGCGAAGCAGCGAAACACTCGAGGTGAGTATTATTTATTCTTTGTATCGTATTTGAAGTTGGCGTTCTCCGAGTCGCGCTACTCGAAATCGCTATCGTTCGATTCTGAGTTGGTAGGTTATTTGCGAATCAATGTTAATAAATCGTTAACACGTGCGCGAGACGCAACGCGATTTAATCGTCGTTCTTTTAAGGTGATTCAGAACGCGTTTGTCACCCATTCCGAGAAACACACACACACACACACACACACCTACGCATTTGTTGCCATTCGATTAGAGAATCGTATGTATCCGTTACTTTTCGAATGCTAACGATTAACGATCAATATTTGTTGCGGGTCACATGTTTCGGGTTACTGTACTCGGTGAAAGGGATCGCGTAAAGGTATCGATATTTTCGCGATCGAAACGGAGTGGTACTAGTGTCGTCGTAGTGTTGACGCCATGGAAGTTGTACCGTTTGACAGTTAAAACTTGACGCGTCAACTTGTCACAGTATGCGTGGAGTATCGATGACACGATCGCGTTGCTTCGAGCTTATCGCGTCGGGTGCCTTTGTTGTGAATAACGTACGGCGTATATATACGAAGAACGTTTTCGTCGAGTGAAAGAAAGAGGTTGAAAAATGTTGCAATTGTGTTGAACAGGATCATCGAAAAAGCGTGAGATGACATTGGTCTGTTAAGATGTCAGCGGAAGCCGTTGGACACCGTCGAAGCTTCGTTATCGAATAACCTCGGTTTCCAAGACATGGTCGTATAGGTATGATGAAAAATTCAATTATGCTTAGATCGTAGGAATATAGAAGTTGGTTATTCGTTAATACGGCAAAGTTATCCGTAGCGATTCGTCTGGTTAGGTAGACGGATTGTAAAGAAACGTGACGGGTTCGTTACACTTACGAGTTTCTTCGACCACAATTTCTATTTCAGTTTTCGTATTTCGCGGTAGGTGGTTTAAGGTTTAAACGAATTCTAAACGATTAAACTGTCGTTTAGCAAGCGTGATTTCTGTGGACAGTTGAACGTTTCGACGACAACAAAAGGACGATCACCGATGGATATTAGGAGCCGATAAGTAATTATTTAAAACGTAATGTTCGATAATGTTTCTAACCTCGTAAAAGTGAACGGTCTGGCATTCGCACGCGTTCAGACCTAACCCGTTTCTATACGTGGGTAGCGGAAAAGAAGTCGGAACCTACGCGAGTTTCACGTATTTGGCTTGTTTCAGCGATCGAACATCTCCCGCGGTGTATACACACTGTACAGCTCGATCGAACAGTGCTAGCGCAAAATTTACTTTTTTTACACGTGACATGTTACATTTTACAACTACCGTAATTGTATAGCGGAAATCAGAAAGATGCCTAGAACCTATCGCAAACATCCGTTTCATTTTTATTTTTATATCCCGAAAAGCAATAGGGTGAGAAAAAGAAGAAGTTTGGATCGACAATAGCGTAATTGTTCCCGCGAAAACGCTATCGCCATGTACATATACGCGCGTTAGATAGGCGATAGGAAGATAGGATAACACGGAATGGATGTCAACGACTCGGGTAGGTCGAAAAAAAATGTATCTTATTATCTAGATGCGTTCGTTCCCACTGATGTCGTTCTTCTCCGTTCACTCGTTTCTCTATCTTGATGTTTTTTTCTGCCGATTTTCTGCCGACCATCGTCTTCTTCACGTATCGAGAATTTGTACGAATTTCTACACCTTTTCGTTTCGAATAAAGCTGTTTACATGCGTTGTTTAGTCTTTTCTTTACGTGTCGGTACATTCGTTAAGATTTTTCAACCGTAAAAGATGATTTGAAATACGAGTTTCGGAAAGCTTATCGATAACTGGCATTTTACCCTACGCCTATGGTGGTCCATGCGCTTAAAATCGATTCGGAGAGACACAGACAGGGCATAGACCTCCATTCGCAGAGTAGATTCGTCGTAACTTGCTCCAACTGCGAGAACTCGATGAAAATGTTTAACGATACTTTCGCGGTTTTCAGGTTTCCTAGGAATTCGATGGGATAGGGAATGTATAGGAGAAAAATGACGACACGTAACGGCAGATGTTCGAGCAAAGATACGAACGTTGTAGATATACCATATATGTATAACCTTTCCAGTAATTTGCTTGAAACGTTGAGACTTTTTTCGGATCTCTCCAAGCTTGGCATATGCAGTCTTTACGCTCCAGGATCGAGTGTAAAGTTGCGCCCTAGCTTCTTCCACCCTCGAACCTGAATTGCCCAGAGAGGTGCCATTCCAAAAACCGACGCGACGTTCAACGATGATCAACACAGGGATGTCGCGCCGAAATTTTCCTCTACGTCTCTCTTTCCCTTTTCCACCCTTTCTCTACACCCCTTCTCTCGCACTGTTCATTTTAATTTTACTATCGGTGATAATCGTGGCGCAACCAAATTAGTATGGGAGGCATTTCGCTCCGAGCTACCGTGGTCGTCGTAGTTTTGGAGAGTGATCCCCGATCCTCGGCGTCTTTATGGCAGTTACGTTTATTAGGTGTGCCGTTTTCACGGAGAACTCTGACCATTTCTAGCGCCGTTTAAACGACCCTGTGGACTGTATGTGTGTACACCGTGGTACTTGGTTTCGCGTGATCGTACAACGCTAACAAACTTTCGGATCCCCGTGCACGCGGTGATCGATGAACGGTACATACTGTACGCCATCGTTCGGTCACAATCCGTTTTCAGACTGTGATATGCGGATCCCGACACGAACAGATACGTTGGATACGCATTGTTATCAACCGACACGCGTCCAAAGAGAAACGCGTCGAGGAGAAAAATTTCGGAATCGGTCGCGTGCAATCCCGGTCGGTCGTTGTTATTTCCAGTTGATTACCGCGCCCCAAAGCTTGCATCACCGTTTCACTCCCATAGTAAATAATGTAGTACGACACCTGGTACACCCTGTACATCATGCTGGGTATGCACGGAAGCATCGCGTACAGGCGTACGGGTCCGAGCGTAATATATGCATAATGTATAGGTCTGGTGTATGCACTATGCAGGCCAGGCGAAATACCTCCGTGCGCAACGTTCTACTCTACATACAAGTATATCGCGTAAACCGTGCGCGCTTGCAACTACGTTCCACTGCACTCGGTACATGAACGTTTTACAATCTTTATGAACTTGTACATAATTGTACGCGTACCGTGTTTCGGACGTTGAGTACGTTTGGAGATAATTGTAAGAATTCTGGTATTCACGAAGAAGACGGTTTCTTGGAAGACTGTCTTTAGTATCTAGTCCTTAATAAAGAGCTGATATTTCTCCACTGGTATTTCGAGTGTAACTTGCCGCGAGAATAGACGTTTCTTGATCTTTCGAACATTCGAAAAGACGTGGGTTAACTCGCGTAAACTTTTCGCACGGTTTACTGCTAATTCACCACCGAACTGGATCCCACGTGTTACGATACACCCTGTATGCATCGTATACGGTTAGAAGCCTTTATAGAGCCAGACAACTCGATCGAATTATAGTAACAGAGTTATCCGTCGGTTCGTGCGAGACGCCAACTCTCGATGGAATGGAATCTAAACTGATTTTTAATTCGTTTCAGCGAAAGGATTAAGAAACGGTAACACGAACTTGTCAACGTACGTACGCATTAAATACGAATGGTCGATTGCACGGAAAGTTGCTCGTCTAGTATACTCTTGGGCAAATTCAGTTAATTCGAGGCTGCGTTCGACCAAAGTTTCGGCAATTTTCATGAGGCTCGTTTGCGTTAAGTGGCTTTATCTAACGCGCTTACCCGAATCTGCATTTGACTTTATAATTTCATTTATGCCGAACCGTGCTTGGCCCAACCGCGGATTCGACGTAGGCGCGAGTAAATTAAAGGAAATTGAATTCTTTATCGGGTATAAGACGAAACTAACAATTTATTTGATCGATAGGAAAAGTATCTTTGTAAAAGTAGAGCTATGTATTTATCATGTAACAAAGGTAAATGTAAAAATGTACAACGTACATCGTATACATCGAGCGAACTCGAGATCTGGCAACAAAAGTGAGGATCGCTAGAACCTCGGATCGGTCAGAGAGAAATATAATGAAAGTGACGGTTGTCACTTTTGAATAACGAAACGCTTGGGCTAGATGTGAACCAGAAGGTACACCGAACAGTCGCCACGCACATATTCCGAGTAGCACCATCCAATGCTAATAAATATTGTTATCGTTACCACGGTGTTTTGGCTTATTCACCCGCGTCATATCCCAAAGTATCTAACTTTCAAAGCTACACAACGGATGAACCTGTAAGTAACGTCGCACTCGTCGGTGATATCTTTTACTGAAACAGAATATACGGCTGGTTTAGAGAATTTTCTGTGGGAGGGAATGCGCGTGAGATTTTTACTAATATTTCGTTATCTACTAATCATCTATCGCGAAAAACGTTCGATAAACGTGGGTTTGTATGTCGCTTGTTTGTTTACAATGTGGACGAATTAGAGGAATCGGCGAAAGGATCGAGGAGAAAACGCTTTCACCGAGGAATTAATTTAACACATCTGTATATCAGAGGCAAACTATGTCGAATCGAAATTTCCAAAATACTTTGTTTTCGAGCTATATAAATTGCTTCCTTTGCGGGTTGCCTACCTTTTTCGTTGCATTCGGCCACGGCTACGGAGAAGAACAACTTTTCTTCTCTTGGTATCGTCAATTTCTTAATCATGTTCTGTACGACTGGCACTTGTATTTGCGAACCTATCATCTGCAAGTAGTCCGGTAGGATTAAAAATTTGTAAATAATATTATCCACATCAGCATGTAGAATTGGTATCGTATCGTATCGGACGAAGGAAATTTGCTGAAGATCAACTTACGCTGCCTTGTTTTTGCGCGCAACACGTTATAACGCAGAGGGCTCTTCTCGCACTTCTTCGATCCGGCGCTTCGTATAATTTGTTACCTTCTTCCACCTCTGATATGTCGGGTTCTACTAACACGGTTCCTAATAGCTGAAAATCTCCTGTGGAACCAACAAAAATTCTTGTTAGTTTTAGTCCCATCTATTTCGTAGATAGGCAACACTTTGGCTAACCGATGGAAAATCGAAAATCGAGAAGAGAGAGTTATAACGTTGGATTTACATCTTACCGATTGTTGCTGACATTTTACGGATACAGGTCTCGACATCTTCCGTCTTTATCTCAAACATTGTGGCAAAATTGTTGATCAGATTCCCCATTTCATTTGTTGCCTGAATGGCTAGCTAAAATATGCAAATGTGCAAATATTCAATACAGCTGTTGGCGTAGGATCGTATCGATAATAAGAAACGGTAACGATAAGTTATTTAAACCATGCGGCCCGGATCGAAACGCTCGATACTTACGAAAGCGGGTACGAAAACCGCAACGAATATCAATAATTTCATGGTTAGGAATTTCACAGATCTATCACCAAACCTAGAAAATTGTCACGCTCGATTTCAACTCCGGTGGTTTGATTTCTACGACTAACGTCGAACGCACAGCATGCTACATTTATATCGAAGCACAAGTAGAGGTTAAAGATCCAAGATTATAAGCAACTTACGTTCGCGTAACGTCAATAACATGCACGATAAACGTAGAGAAAAATAATTGCTAGAATAGTGTCGTGGTTCGATTCCGTAAATCAATTAATTCCTGTTATTCGATCGATTCGACGCGTTACTTGTACATAGTTAGGCATAAGTACCAAGAAAGAGATACGGTAAGGTTTCCGTTACGCTAACGCGAATTGTGTGCCAAACAATCATGGAAATTTAAGAGCAAAAACATCAATTATTTTCCAATCGGATACTTCTTTTAGATCCCTTTAGAATTAATATTCCGCGAGTTTGTCGAAAACGTAGCTGGCGTTTTTAAGCGCTCGCAAAGCCTACCATTTGCAAAAATGTCTCTCCCTTTTCTTACGTGTCTATTCGGCGCGTAAGATCGGCGGTAACTTTATTCCGTGGTGTATGCGAGGCAACTTGGACCATTATGGGGTACATTATACCGCCTTAGAACGTGAGTCGCTTACGCTAACGCGATCCCTGCTGCTCGACGAGTAGTGCTCGTCCCTTGCATGTTTCATTTGGACTACAGGCTACAAGACACAGGACACAGGGCACAGGGTTCCGCAAACGTGTTGCAAGGATCGCTAGTTTCAGGCTACCTCTGATAGCGTGTCGCGTAAATAAAGCTAAACGAATAATAGGTAAAGGTAAACATATGTAACTAGCTAAGGGAAAGGCGATAAGGACGAACGAGTTGTTCTCTTAAATCGTTTTATTGAACCTTGTAAACGTGGTTATTTCTGATGGTTACAATTTGTTTACAATATTCGGCGAGCAACGTTTTTGCTAGACTATCGCGTTAACTGAAAATCTTCTCTATATAACAGTCGGTGTATTTGTTGCCAATGTTGCATTCGTCGGTCTCGCCACTCACTACAACAGAAAAAAAGATCGTGTATCGTGCGTTCTACATACGTACATGTATGTTAGATAGAATACGGGGGGAATCGAGCATTTTCTTAAATTAAAATTAGAGAGAAAGAAGCTAGCGACGGCAGTGTCGCTATGTGCCAGGCGAAACAAAACCGGGAAACTAGGACAGTCACTTTTTCAAGTAGGATCCGCGTTTGTTTTTGATCGTTAATTTAGAAAAACTGATAAGCTTATTATTTTTGTTTCTTTTCTCGGATATTGCACTTACACGTTCCGACGCATTCCTTCGCAATATTCTTGACCATATCGATCTCTGCGTCATTACCAGCGTGTACCGTTTCTATCATCTTGAGTATTGGCTCAACGTGGAAATCAAGGCCTGTCAACTGAAACGGAAAAGGAATAAATGTCGTCGACGCGTTCGATTCCATAAAAAATTGGAACATTTTGGTTTATTCGGTCAACTAGTTTGTCGTTTGTTGAAACTTTACTTACAACGTTCATTCGTTTCATCACGCACGCCTTCAAACAACCCATTACTTTTAGGTCGGCCTCACCGTGGGGCGACTGTACATTCGTAGCTTGCTCTGGAATAGATACATTTACGACGTTAGGATGCGTTTCCATCGCGTCGCGAATCGCAATTCAATCGTTATGCTGAAATGCTATTGCTATACACAGTCTGTACTCGGACCAAGTGGATACTTGTGGATACTTGTCTAAGAAAACGTATTCAACGAAATTGCGTTTTTTTTACCTTCTGTAATATGTAATTCGTCGGCGCAGGGTTTCACGTCCGGCATCAAATACTCCATGTACTTTGGTATGATATCTTGGTCTATACCGCGTACAACCGTCTATATCGTAAGTAAGGTTTACGATTATTTTTTACGAAACTAGACATTTCAGGATTTTAATTTCGAACTTGTAATTCTTAACAGACTATCGAAACATTTGTATTTTTTAAAGGCCAGCTTTGAAATTGTTGGCATAATCAGCCTCGGTGGTTAAGCATAGATATCACGATCGAAAGAAATTAAACGGAAAACACTGATACGAGGTTTGGCACTCACCGCGGTCGCCAACACGCAAGCAACAGCAACGATGATTTTCATGCTTCGGGTTCAATCGATATACGAACTTTAATCCCAAAAAGACAAAACGAATCGATTCTCGAAACTGATTTCGCTGAATAGTATCACCGACTGGTAACCGTAGGTCTCTTTGGATGTTATTTATATAGAATCCATGCCGAAAAATAGCTGGTGTTAAGGTCTGACAGGGTACAGCAGGAAACAAGATAATACCCCGAATCAACGAGTTTACATAAGACGCGATTCAAGTACACATAAAACGCATCCATTACGGACAATTCGAGTCAGATTTGTCACGATAAGTGATTGTTTTCTATCGCGGAATGAGACTGCTTAAGAAAATTATGCGATCGAAACGGCAGCATTACCGATGCGCGATGCTGAAACGTCATACGAAAATCGCGTGCGCTATAATTTTCTCGCAGTACCGAGCAGTAAAAGGAAAATGATACCGCATCGGGGATCTGTTGTCTCTGCGAATATTCCTTCTGCGAATATTCCTTCTGCGAATCGTTGGCTACTCGACCAATTATTCGCGTATTCGGTTAAGAATGAAAACTTTCTTTAAGATGGATGTTTTTCAAGGCTATCGGTTTAGTTGCATATATCATGTATTATATAATAAAGAGAATAGAATGTACTGTGGCGGTGATCAAAGTTCCAGTACGATACAAGCTTTCGATGAATAATAATATACATACATACATAATACACGCACGCACAGACGATTATCAATTGACGGTCATTTAATATTCCCGCACCTCTTGCCGCTAAATCTACATCGTTAAATCATTAGACTTGATCTTTTTACGTTTCCGTTGTTATCTAATCATTTTTATTGTCGAAGCTATTGTTTATCTAGGAAACATTCGATGAACGAATAGGCCATTTTGCACTCGTCCGATGTGCCTTTAACTGAAAGAAACGACATACGGTAACGTTAACGATAGATAAATAATTATTCTTTTTCAAGTTGATTCGTTTGACATTTTTGCGCTTGGCTTACCTTTTTCGGCACATTCTGTCAACGTTTGTTTGGAGCCTTGAACTATTTGCGGATCTTCGGGAAAAATGGTTTCGATAAACTGGATGGCCGGTACCAAGTCCAGTTTCGAGTCTTTCAACTGAAATCCGTACGACAACGTGATACGCGAATTCGTTATTACAGATTGGTCCATTTTCATCGACCGATATCGCTTACCGCGCCCATTGCTTTCAACGTGCATGCACGAAGACACGAAGCTCCTTCGAGTCCTGCCTTTCTGTCGTTATCGAATGCATCACGTGGATTTTCTGAAATATATTCGAAGGAACACCCAACGTTCCGCTCCGATAAAATAATAACAGACAACAGACGATAAGGGGATAGGTTTCAATTTAAAAAATGGTTGCGTTGCAAGAATCTATGACTAACACTTACGTTCGGTAAGACCATTTTCTTTGGCGCACGTTACAAATTGTTCCCTGTTCTTTTCCAAGTAGGCATCGACGATATCCGCGCGAACCATTGACTTCAATTTAACGAGTACAAATTAATCGAAACGAATCTAAGTTTCGGTGAAAATTTTCTATGAAATTATCGTCTGTGCACTTACCGCGGCTAGCAAAATACACGAGATAACGAAAAGACTGTTCATTTTGACTATTTGCAATAGGTTGTCCTGCGGTGGAAAATGTTGTTGGACGATTGAATCGTCTTAATTGTTGGAGCGTACTATTTATAACGCGAATAAGATTGCAAAAAATATCGTTGCATCACGTGTGCACGTTGCATCGACGTTACTAATGTATATTTTGTAAAAAAAAGGTACTACGCACATGATAATCACTAGGTTCGATCCTTTCGTGTTTGTTTTTCTATGGATACTACATATCAATGTCGAGACTTGTATCGCAGATGGTATCAACAATAAAGAAACGAACGAGAAAAAATCTCAATTGGTATGCACGTGACTCTGCTACAATTGACCAATGACTTGGGAATTAATAAGCGTGTAAACGATTAATGATTAACGATTAACAATTAACGATAAAGATAACGATAAGGATTAACGATTAACAATTAACGATAAAGGTAGTTTGAAATAAATTGTTGGCTTTCGATTCTTATCTATCTGTTATTTTGCTCGAGGTTTGACAATTATTAAGTGTTATTCGTCGATTCTCAACACATTCGTTAAGACACGTAGTTATTTTCGTTACAGAAAACACATTATTCATCCTTCGACTTGATCTTAGTGCAGCGTATAAATTCGAAGCCAATGTCGCATTCGTCGGTTTTGTCTTTAACTGAAACAATTGTAAAATTTTCGTTTGTAACTTTGTTATTTTGTTTCGTTTAATCGATGCCTACCTTCTTCGATACAGTCTTCGGCAACCTTGACTTGTTTGGCTATTATATCGTCATCCGTGTACACTTTTTCGATCAATTCTTTTACAGTCTCTATCTTTATAGCGGTGCCATCCATCTATTATCGTAAAAAAATATTACTCCGAATCATGTGAAATTGTCTATTTGTTTGCGACCTAAACGTTGATGATAAGTCACTTACGATGTCCATTCCTCTCATAATGCACGCTTTCATACATCCGAACTTTTTTCTCTCTTCGCCCTCCAAATTGATGTCAGCGAATTTATCCATATCGGCTGGAACGAACAAACTTTAATTATAATCGACGCAATCGATTTAAAAAAGAGAAAGAAATGATTTTTTTGTCATTTACTCGGTGAAATGTTGTGTTCCTCGGCACACGATTCTACGTGATCCTTCATTAACTCCCCGAATTTTTCGTTTGCCTCGTGACTGTCGCTACGTACCACTGCCTAAAATTTATTCATTTCTTTTCTTTACGCATTTCTTAAGCATATTCTCCGAAATTTCACCTTTCTACATATATTCGTATATATTTCGCTCTGTATAGATATACATATACACCTATGTGCATACATAGCATGTATCGCATCCAAATGGTGCTCGCAACAGTATTATATTTATATTTTACCCACCGCAACTAGGAAGAGGCAGACGACCGTCAACAGAAGAGACTTCATCTTGAAAGTTTAAATCGCTAAAGAAACGAACCCAAGAACAGACTGATGTCTGTCAATGTTTCGACACGATATTTATATAGAAGTCGTGTTAATATGTATTGAATCGCGCAAGGTGTTAGATCTTATTACGAAGTAACAGGAAGAGAAATAATTGCTCTTACTATCTGATTTACGTAACTTGTTTCAATTGGATTCGGAAAAAATAAGCAATTTTAGTCGTCCGTCGGCGTCGGTGGACGGATTTCACGCGAAAGATGATTCTGCGTGATCGGTTTGATAAAAGAACAATAGCAATAGCGTCGTCGTATTTGTCGTTTAGTAAACACGAGAACAACCGTTGCTACAAAGTGAAACGAACAAAGCTGGTATTTTCTGCGTATGAACGTAGCTATAGCTATAGCTATTCCTCTGAAATCGGAATGCCGCGAATCTTGAAATTCATTTATTTATCGTACAATTCTTGGAATAGAAAAACGTTGTTTTTGTTTCGTGGAAACTTGTCGTTAGAGAACAAGTTGGTAGAGTTGTTGTTTGCGTTTGAATTCGATAAAAATTAATACTCGATCTGTCGATCGTTTATCTGTCGCCATCCGACCTAGCCGTTTTCCGGATAATCGTATACCATTGTACATTATGCTCGTATCGCGACGAGTCTTAGTCATAGTCGTAGTCTCCTATTCCTCGATAAGGAATATTCTTATATTCCTAGATTCCTCAAGTTTCATTGTTTATAATGTAAATGTGCGTTGGAACAGGAACGTTGTGTAATACGAAATTTATAACGCGTTACTTTCTCGATATTGACTATTTTATTATTAACAATAGAACGCGATAGAAAACGAACGTAGGTAGATTTTTACAGCATACGAGGCTGTTTAATGATCACGCAAGAAAATTTATTCTCAGGACGAGATACAAACATTTCAGAATTCGAAAGGAATCGTAAATAGGATATGTATATTGTTATTGAAAAATCGGGGAATTCATGAATACGTTGTATACGTTTACGCGTTGTTTCAAGTAGAATTGTAGTTGTAGTAAGTGTAGGATACAATTTAATCGATCGTAACGTTGTGGTAAAATGTCTAGTTTAATAATCGGCGATAACCGTCGATTGATTTATCAATATCTTTTACAGTATGGTTTAGTCTTTGAATTTCTGCAGCCAGGTTTAACCGCTTTTTGATGAGCACGACGACGCCGACGACGACGACGACGACGACAAACCGATGCTTGAGCACTCCTCTTGCTTATCCGATCATTCTGTAATTTCGTCATAGACGAATCGTTCACGGTGCCAGGTAGAGCTGTAACGAGACAAACTTTGATTATCCCGTGCAAGACACGTTTTCCTTGGAAATTTCAAATTATCACAAGATACATTGATTATTTCATTTTTAGGAAATTGTTATGATCTTTCGATTCTTCTACTTTCATCGACATCATCATCGATCGTAAATCTTACGTCGAGATATTTATTATTCGCGAATCGATCAGATTATGTAGAGTCGCTTGGCGATCGCGTAATGGTGCAACTCGGAAAAGTCGAGTCGATGACTATGATATTTCCTGTTTTTCTATCATCGGAAAAAGTCCGTTTTAAGGGGCGATAGCCAAGTTTCGTTTTAGATGAAACGAGCACAGTACGAACGCGGTACGAAACGAGTATGCCGAAAATGTCTGAATCGGCGTAATCGTATTTAAAAATCACCTCTGAATCCGTCGCGTAGATGCATTTGCCAAACTCCCACGCTAGCTCGCATCCCTCCGTAGCCGTCACTGCAAACAAATTGAAATGTTTCGACGATTATCGAAATCGTTACAATTTATTCCTGTCGGATGATACGAATATCATTAATTTTATTCATCATTAATCGTATTCGTGACGTACCCGTACTCCGACACAATTCCACCGCATGTTGAACTCGGGTAGCATATTCTTCGATCAACATGAGACGAGCATTGTTTATGAACCAATCGTACATTATTTCGTCGTTTTTCATCTAAAATTAAACGTACTTTTCTATCGATAACGTACTTTAATAGGATATCGATAACTAGTCTACGCTATCGAAGGAGATGTTACTTACAGTTTTTGTCGAGGTTAGTATGCATTTCATGTAACACATTAGCTTTTCATCCTTTGGAAATTCGCCTCTGTGTTGACCATCTAAAAGTTCTACGCGCCAACATCCGACAAGATCGTTATCGTGCTTGATCAAATACAATTAAAGTACTAATGGTATGAATTGAATGAAACGCTACGTTATAATATACTATCGGTGGTTGTGCTGAATCGTAACATTTAATATTCGAGACGATAGGAAAACGAGTTGAATCTGAATCTGAATCTATACCTTTCGGAGCGTCTGTCTTCTTCGAGCAAACTTTCCTCAAGTTTTTAATGGTCTTCTTGGCCTCGTCTATAGTCATTTTTTTCTACGAAAGAAAGTATCCGTAGGTAGAGTCGATTACACGAATCGCGAATACGAAAAGAATCGACCGAGACTCACGCTTTCGGTGTCCCTGACGGTGATCAGGACGAGCATGAAAGCGATAAGCAGGAAAACGTTTATCTTCTTCATCTTTGTTCTTTTCGTAGATCTTTTCGCGTTATATGCTTGTTTTCACCCTTGTTACTCGGTGTCGCGCTTCCCTCAGCGTTGTATATGGAAAAGAAACGTACGAAAGACGTCGCGATGCGACGCGACCCGACGTACCACAGGAGTAATTCGTCTTGGATTAATCGAACGAAAAACAGCACCTCCATTCCCTTTTATAACGAGTCGGTGTCGCAGTAGGAGAACGGCCAATTTTTGTATCTTCGGTGACACGTTCAACCGGTGATTACCGCGTTCGCTCTACGATATTAAATCGTATACTCGCCTCCTCTGTTTTCGAGAGGACAATCTCAGAGGTTAACAACTGCGTCGGAAATGGAGGAGTAATGCAGTCACATAATTAGGTACGCCGACGCCGCGCGCCGCACCGATTATGCAATTACGGTATCACGACTGATAGCGGATACATTCGGATCGTTTCTGTCGCAACTGTTATCGATCCGATCCGATTTGATCCGATCCGATCCGATTCGATCGATCGACCCATTTAGGACAATTGAACCGCAACGATACGAGAATAGTTCTCCATCGACCATGTATCATTTTTCTTTAAACTATCATCGAATCGTTGTCTAATAAAACTCGATTTTCCCAACACTGATCTCTCCGAACTCATCTTGGATCTTAGTTGGCTCTCGATTGGTTTTATCGTTTGGTATTACGATGAGGTAAAACAGGAAAATAACTACTCGTTAGATTTTCGGAAAGAATATTAGGATCGATAATTTGCGGTAAAAGTTCATAATAACTTCCTTCTGTCAGGTCAGGAACAGCAGAAAATTGAGAAAAGAAAAGTCTATCGATGGGTCGCAGGAAACAAAGGAACGATGAAGTAACGTTTCAAAATGAATTTCGGATCGATGGAACTCGATGAGTTTCGTCGAGAAGAAAAACTTTGGCTCTCGTTACACGAAACGATTACGTTCGTCTTCGTATCCCTTGTTTGTCCGCGAACCACAAACAGAGTTCCGCTCGACTCTTTTTCGTCTGGTCGTGGTGTTTATTATTAAATTTAACAGGAAAACATCGATTACAACGTCAATCAGTTTTCTCCTTTTTCTCGTCTATCCCTTAATCTTCTAAGGGAAAAAGAATATTTCCGTATCCGCATGGTAGATGCATTGCACGTATTGGTAGGACATTTTGCACGGGTCGGTGTCGAACTCTGCGTATATCGTTAAAAAAACGAGTAATCGTTGAACGATCATTTCACGAGCTATTATTACACATAAAAACAAACGTATTATACGATACATATCAGACTTTTCTCTTACCTATGTTGTTACACGACATTACGGCTTTCTTTAATCGAGCTCCGATATCGGGTGGCATCACCGCATCTATTTGTTTCTTTATCATGTTGAAATCAATGTTTCCATTCCTGAACTAGACAGAAAAGTACAAGGTAAAAGAGTAACCTTCGCGAGTTTCAATAAATAACATAATAAATAACATTTCTTCTTACTCACGCTTCTCATTGCTTTCATGATACAATTCGTATAACATTGGAGATTGTAATCGTCTGGAAATTCTCCTCTCCTTATCCCAGAGACTAGTTCTACAAAATTACACGATAATTCAATATAAAATCCGTGGCTACGTTAACTTATCTATACGTCAACGTTACCTTCGGTGGTGTCAATTTTTTGCAAACAGGAGGCTCGCATAGACTTGGCCATCTTTTCCATTTGCTCTTGAGTAATAGCCTACGTTGCGTTAATAAAAAAATACACTTGTTACAGTAGTTTCATATGTACGAAGCAGTAAACTCACTCTAATACCAAACTTACACTTTTTACTGGTTGAAACGTTACAACCAGAAACAAAATTGCGTTAAACAACGCTTTCAAATACATGTTTAAATTTTTCATCCGATACAAGACGAATAAAGTGGAAAGAAATATCGATGAAAAAGAGAAGAAAAATAGTGCTTCTCTAAATTGTACGACTGGAGCCCTCTTTGACCAGTCTTCTCCTTATAAACTCTTCTGTACGGTTTCGAACGGCAGGATCCATCATCTGCTTCCTGGATAATTCGACATTCGCAATGGAATTACGATAGAAGACGGTGTTTGTCGAATTGATGACAAGTTTACTGGTTTTATATAACGCTATAAGGACCGACTTCCATACAAAATTATCGCTCGAGTCGATTTCTTTTTAGAAAAGTTCTCTACTTATTGTAACCATAGACTGGTAACGCTACGAAGCAAATTTTCAAGCCTTGCATCGTCGCGTCGCATCGCTGCCTTAAAAGTATCCGTGGATCTTAAATGCGCGACAGATAACAGAGAAAGTTGCCGTTATGATTTCGCGGATCGTTGTTTGGAAACGCGCATACGACATCCACAGAAATGTGGGTGAAGGAAGCCCGGTATTGCGCGATCGAATTCTTCGGGTTGGATTCGATGGCGCGTCGCATCGGCATCGTGACGAAATTTTTGTATCGCGCATACCATAGTATTTTTAGTCGTCGTGAAAATTCCAAGATGCCCTCTCACGGGACAAATTTCGACTAGGAGTAACTCATGGGTGTCTTGAACCGTACTCGTCGAACCGTTTTTCAATGTTGATCTGATCACCTCTGTTATTTAATCAATTTTACATCGTTGGCATTGCGCCCTGTTTTCCTATGTAACTGGTTTCGTAAACTTTTCGGAAACCTGGACGACCGAGTAGACGAGACAAAAATCACTTACCAACCAGTAACGCCTCGAACCTCAATTTTTGCTCGAGTTCGTTATCCTGCAAAACGAATTGACAAGACAAAGGGAAACGGTATCTCGTCGATCCTCTTTTTACGTGGGTTAACGAGAGCCGACGATCTCGTCTCGCGTTCGTGGAAGAAAATCAGATTCTGAACAAATGGGAAAAGACAAGAAGATAGAAAGGCAAGAGCATTCGAGAGAAAATTGCGGAAAGAAAAGGGTTGGGAAGGGTACGCTATGTAAATAACGCGATCGCCGAGAAGTCGCAGCGCCGACAGGGTCGTTCGAGTCCTAATTGAACGCATTTAATTAGCAGTAATAACCGAGTACGCGTTTTATAGGATAAGGTTGGGTAACAAACGTCTCGTTGCGTCGATAAGCTGCTGCCTCGTCAGTGTTACATTAACATGTTCGTATTATTATAATGTTGATCTTCGATCCGTCTAGCTTCTACTATACGAATACAGTTTACACGTATATTACAAATACGAACAACTAGACTTTTTATCGACCTCTACATTCATCGAAATAAGCTGCGTTTATTATCGTTTATGATCTCGACTTTACACGAACAAAACAAATACGCGCTCGATTATTTGGTAGCAATTGAAACAGTTTTCGCGTAACGAAATCGTACCGAGCTCTTTGGATATCGTCGATTCGAATTTCTTAGCGAGCCAATCTTTTCGCTTCGAGGATGAAAAAGGTTGGCTCTCGGCTCTCGGCTCCCGAGATACATACGTATACGCATCGCGCTCTTCCGGCACGATGCGAGATGTGAGTCACAAACTCGTTTTCTCTCTATCGCGAGCCGAACGTTTCTAATCTACCGATTCTCGTTTGCGACGATAGTCGACGAAGGGGTAAAAATACATAGATAAGTCGCGTTACCGGTTCGGGATACCATCGCGTCGCGTCAATCATCCAATTTCCAACTTTGAATACATTTCGTTACATTTCGACTTTAAACGCTCTGGAACGAAATTCTATGGTTCGCGTTGAAATCTGACGGTGATTGAAATGTGAAATCGGGTTCAGGTAACGAACAAATATTGCGATTAATCGAATGTGCCATGCCATACCATCGGAGGAGTTACGGATACAGATCGCTTCTACTATTATAATTCCAAGTGATTCTCCAACGTAAATTTCCCCTGGAAAGCGTGGACTTGAATTTTTCACGAATGAAACAGGAAGCAGCGAGGTAAAGAAAAAAAAAATGATTTCGACTCATATCGCAGACTATTTCTACGTTTCGTTTGACGTTACGCACGCACACGAGCACAAGCATAATCGTATCCGTTTCCTGAGTTTCGAGCGAGACCACGTCCATTTGATGATAAACAAACTAAAATTGTAACGCTCCTCAAAATAATCATCGTCAACAATATCTGGCGTGTATGTTGCCCGATAAAATAAACTACACTTTCAGCATCGAACGGACTAACGTTTTAAACGTAATTTTCGTATAATTTCAAATAAAACAAAGGAGAAGACACTCGCCTCGTATTTTAAATATGGACCATTTTAATCGAAGAAAATAATATTTAAAATAAGATTTTTCTTGTTTATTTTCTTCGACTACGAGACGCTCACTGTTACATTCTTCGTACAATGTTTTGATTAATTCTAGATAATCGCTACGATCGATTACGCAACGATAATGTTTCGGGTGAATTGTAATGTTAACGCGGCACTGGGAGTACGTTTTCTGACGATGCTGTAATTTTCTTAATTATACGTATATACCATACCCACCATTGCGAACGGAGGAATTAAAAACGCCCAACGGAAGTCTCGGATACAATTAGGTAGTTTAGTGCGGTTAATTAGCGATACCTGTGGAACTTGATGCAATACTTTTCAATGTTCCCATCGTTTTCCTATTTTTTTATTCGTCGAGTAGTTGCGTTAAATATACGTTTCAAATCGCTGTTATCGACCTATTCGACAATCTAATTACATAGGTACGTGATCGTACGTTATCGGGCATAACGAGACGATCGATAATTTTCTATTTCAACACAAAGGAACTTGTCCTCTTCTTCATCTTCCGCGCGAACGACTCTACCGCGGTCTCGTTTATTAATAAACAGTTGAAACTCTGTTCGGTCCGTCTTTCCTTTCTTTTAACCAAGGCATACCTATTACCTACTCGCGGCAACGTACAAAACGTACGCTCGGTGTATTTTAGTTGCATGATTCAGCGCCGCGGCGTCGCCGGACCAATACGCGCCTCCGCATCTTTCTTCTCTGTATTTTTTATTTTTTCACGCTCTTGTTTGTATCGAATCACGTTAAGCTGACGGGACAAAAGTTACTTTGCTGCGTGAAATTTTCGTTTCGATAATGCGTGGATCGTACAACATGGTTAACATAGTCGGCAACGAAATTCTAGCCGTTTCTCGGTCATTTCAACTGGGCTGTATACCA